TAGCTCGGCAGATATTAAAGCAGCAGTGAGCTCCAATCGCGATATGCTTGTGTACTTGATGTGGGCAACTCTGGACTTTCCTATCAATAATGTGGAGTGGGGTATTCTCGGCGGATCGATCAGTCGGATGTAGATCTCTGAAGCATCAGGAAATGCGTGCAACTCAGTCTTACAATCTGAAGCAAATGATTTGGGTCGGATACACCGTGTTATGTGAATGCTTTCTACATTTTGTAGGTTCAGCAACTAGTTCTTCCATTTCAACGTTTCATTCTCAGGCATAACATCGTCCCATGCAGCCTTCCTTCGACAGAGATCCTGAATCAGACACTTTGCTGGCAGTAATACTGGTGCAACCATCCCCAGAGGATTAAACAATGAAGCTACGTAAAACAGTAAAGCACGACGAGTGGGGATACTATTCCAGCTTTCAAACTTGAAACAGAAACAATCGGTCGTATTTCCCATGACGCGCCTAACGTTCTCTTTATGTAGTCTGGTTGACGATCTATATGAAGCGTTGTAGTATTGAATATCGCTTCGGGTAGGTCAGACAATGCTTCTTCCACGTTACTGAAGAAGCCTGTAAGATTAAATCCACCAGATGCTAGGGCCTCCTTGAGTTGCTTGGCCATAGTCTTTACCGCTTCTTTCGTGGGTGAACTGGTCAGGCAATCATCGACGTAGAAGGATCTATTGGCTAAGCTTACCGCTTCCTCTCCGTAGGGGTCATGAATGTTTTGATAGTCTGCCTGAGATCTAGGCTAGCGCAACTGGGGGATGCAGTTGCCCCAAACGAATGAACAGTCATGCGGTAAGAAATTGGTCGGTTGGGAAGCTCACCGTTGGTCCACCAGAGAAAACGTAGCGCATCCCGATCGGCTTGTGGGACTTTAACTTAATGAAACATCGCCTCGATATCTGTGGCCAACACTTAAGAGTGTTCCCGAAACCTTGGAAGGAAGCCACATAAACTATTCACCAGATCTGGACCAGTACGCAGCTGCATATTCAGGGAGGTATTTAAGGGTTTTCAGCACAGTCAAAAACAACGCGAGCTTCGTTTTTGTCTCCTGCTTTGAACACGCCATGGTGTGGTAGGTACCATGCACTTGGGCCAGCTTAATTTTCTCACTGTCAGAGACGATTTCTGCATAGCCTTTAATCACATACTCTTCGATCTTTACGCAGTGGAGTTTCTTAATGATAGGATCACGTTCAAGAGGACCCTTTAGGCCAAAAATTCTTCCGAGTACCAAGCCCTTGTTGTCTGGTAGACACGGGGATCCACCCTTCCAGGGTAAGGGTATTTGGTAGTGTCCGTCCACTATTTTCGAAGACGTAAGCATTCAGTCTTAGGTCACTCGATTATTCAGTGACATTGCTCGCTTGGTACAGGCAGCTTCGAGGAATTCGAAGTTGGACATACGCCCGAGCTGCAAATTTAAGTCTCCCGATTGACGGATAACATGGAAAATTGCTTCGCTCTGGTTGTTATTGGGGTTTGAGTATAAAGGCCCCAAAACTGCCCATCCCAATGGTCCTCTTACATCATAATGGTCTTGGGGGCCCCCGAACCTCTGCTCTAGAACCCAATGTGCCTTTGGGATGTCACAACTGATAAAAAGATCTATGTCTACCGGTTCCAATTCTGGAAACGGTATTTCCTTCAAATGCTTCCACTTCTGGGACTGTTCGAGACGTGGCGCGAGTGATCGTATGCAGGGCATGGAGTCGATAACCCGAGCGCGATGATCTGGCATCACTTCCTCAGAATCGAGCGATGCTATGGAGAACGAAACTGATGCAGATCTTGTGAGACACTCTCCAGTGATAGTTTTATTAATTAATGACGCAGGTGTACCTCTCAATCCCAGTTTCGGCAGAAGTGAACTATGGATCAGGGTCGTACTAGCACCGTTGTCCAAAAAGGCATTGACAACGACGTCTCCCTCGGGTCCTCGAATCCAGGCTGGTACTACTGCAAGCAATATATTTGATTTTGAGACGTCTGCTATGCTATGATGTAGACCTTCTGATGCAGTCTTAGGTGGTTCTGGTTCGTTTTCTGTCTTGGAAGAGCTCGGTCGGTTCAAAAGTGGATGATGTTTACCTACACAACTGGAACCCACAGGCATATCTGATCGACACACCTCTTCTTGATGGTACCGTTTTAAACACAAATAACATGCTCGGAGTCGGTCTACGCAGGCAATTCTGCTTACAACTGGCATTTCAATAAACTCTGGGCGCTGATCCAGGTAGTGAGATAATCTGCACTGTGCACACTTCACTGGTAACCTAACCTGACCTGATCTGTCGTTGCCTATCTGCGTCGGCAAGATAGCTGCTTTATATAGTGGAGATTTGTGTGTTGGTTGGGGCCTCACTGTGTTTGGCTGGGGACGCATAAACTTCCCTCCAACGGCGTACACCTGTTGAGATGCTGCTGCATCGGCATTGTCACGTATGAACTTTGCCAGTTCGTCGAATGTTGGATCACGCTTGGAATTGAATGATTTAGACGCCAGGGCAAACCATTTATTCTGCATGGAACTAGGTAATCTACCTACAACAGTCCCAATGGTCCGGCAAGAATTAAGACCATTTGGATATTCCAGTTGATTCAACGTAGCAGAACAAATCATCATGTCATCAGCCAAAGTGATCAAAGCCTTATGGTCGTCCACCCTTAGGGTCGGCCCTTCCGTCAGTTGCTCTATCGAGGTAGTTGCAATGATATGGGGATCACCAAACCTACGTTCAAGTATACGTAGTGCTTATGCGTAGCCTAACTCATGTTCCAAAACGCCACACCGTCTAATGGCCTGGGCTGCCTCACATTCACAGTAATGTACCAGGTATGAGAATCGGTCTGCCGGATCACGAGTGCGTCGGGCAATGGTGGACATGAAACTGCGCATTAAATTTTGGTAGTCGGCTGAGTTTCCATTAAATTTTGGCAGCTGTCGCGCGGAAAGTACCATACATGTTTGCACCAACTGAGCGGTTTCCAGAAGCCGATCGTCTTGCCCCGTGTTAGCATCACGTAAGTGTTTTTTTGGAGGGCTGATAACAGTATCTTGCTCAATAGGTATCGGCAAGTCCTTTGGGTTTAGTATGGAATTTACATATATTCGTACGGCATCACATTGTTCATTTGTTGCTGGACAAGGACAAGTTTCCAACCCCCAGAATTTATTGACTGAGCGATTTAATCTAATTTCGCCATCTCCTGTTGAACACTGTCTTGATATTCCTCGATTCTTTTAGCAGCATCTGCCTCCAGTTCTAACTTTTCACTCTTATTACGGGCCAGGTCCAGTTCTCTCATCAATTCTTGCGTGGGCAGTCCGCGAGTGGTGGATGCTTGAGACGGAGAAGACAGTCGAGACACAGACATAACGCGTCTTAATGTAGCCGGATATTGAACATCGCACGGTATTTCTAGCGAAATTTGTGCGATCCTGTGCTAAGGCCGTGATCTCAAAGCAAGGAATAGGTTACTTAGCCCAAACGCACGATCCAGGTGTCCTATCTGACAGGTAACGTGTAGTCTAATTCACCAACGGACGATCAGTAATAATTGCGGCGAAACCGAATTCTACGAACTTCACCTGCGTTTGTTCAGTAGTCGCAATTGTGCAGTGAACAATATATTGAATTGGACTTGGGCAGATAGTACAGATAGGTAAACCGTGGTTCCGTGGGAAATTAACAGTAAATCGTGAGGAGAATTAAAGAAAGGCTTACGGCTAGATTGAACTTTGGGCAGTTAGCAACACAGCATGGCACATGAAGGGCAGTGTGCTATCGGACAAATTAAGCGGGAAAATTGTTGTTCAGTTCAAAGTGGGACAAAATTTCAACAAGAAGTCCAGAAATAAATGTAAACAAGTCGTCTATAGAAATGGTTGAGGCAGAGTCAGCTTTGTATAAAACAGAACGTTTCAGTCTTGAAACTTGAGCAGTCACGGAAGAGTGGTGAACTAGCCTGAGGAATAAGGACACAAATAATTACGTCACTTAATTAACAGTAACGGTCCAAATTTTTGCGCCATATTTAGACATCCCGGGTTCTCGGAGATGCTGACAAATTATCCCACCAGACTTTTCCAACAAATGTATGATTGCTTCAGTCGGAAATGAAATTTCGTGGACTGCAATGTTTGACCTTAGTTAAGAATGGTTTTCAGTTAGTTTTCATTTTCAGTTTTCAGTTCTCACATACACAACAATATGCAATATTTTGGAGCAAAATGTTCCACTTTATTGTAAAATTTTGCAGCTGAGAGCATTGCGCCGCTATTGGGCCGCGAATGCAGTGCGGACTTTTAGGCCAAAAGTAATTCACACCAAGTCAAACAGTCAGCTTGCCTTGAACCGCCGTCTATAATCACACTCACATAGACCTGGTGCACACCAGATGTCTCTTACGTGGAGATCTCGACAGACGGTTTCTCCATTTTTTGAGTTGACTCAAACCGGGAGGCTAGTGCGGTTGCTCTGTACATACATTAGGCCCTATTGATCCCGAGTTTCCTTTCTGACACGGCTTCCGCACCTTTTCCCGATGCACTGTGGGTCTAAATCCCGCTGCACAGGCCCGATTCTCTCCTACTCGGTGTGGTCAACCATTACCTTTTGAGTCCTCCAGAAGATGACAAATTTCTTATACGAACCCTTGAGCAGCTCTCCTTCAACTAGCACTTTACTCATCTCCTGCTTGTATGCGACTTTAACGCTCCAAAAGCCTCTTGGATGGAGCTCCAGCGCGTCCAATCAAACGGAATTTTCTCAGCGGCGCTGACTGAAGTCGTTCAACAGTGCTTGTACTCAACGTGTCGTTGCGCAGGCTAACTACCATCCCTCCTGGACCCGGTCATCACTAACGAAAGACACTTCGTTGATCAGATAACAATTAACGCTCCACTAGGACACAGCGATCACTGTGTGCTAACTTTTGATTTCATCTGTTATTGAGCCAGAAATCCCGAACCTTAAAGGTGGTTTCGAGGCTTCTGCTGTGCGGACTTCTCAGGAATGCGCATCTTTCTTAAACAAATTAAGCTACGACCGGCTTCAGTGAAAAGGATTATATAGGAACATTGTCCAGACAGTTCATGAGGATGACGTGATGTTCGTCCCAAAAGAAACAGCACGCTGTCGTGTGAGCCACAGGGTGTCAAAATGGATTTGGCGTCTTCTGGAAAAGAGGTCCCAACTTTTTTCAAAAAGTCGGCTTTAGGGGATACGGAAAATGAGCTGGCATTTCGTAGAATGCGGAACCGCTGTAAATCAGAAATCCGCCAATGGAACATACGAAAACAAGCCACCATCCTAGACCTCACCCGAAAAAACAAAACGTATTGTTCAAATACATGCGACAAATAGATGGCCAGAAACAAGCAATCCGGGTTCTTCTTGAGGGACAGAAACGGAGAACCCAAGAGTAACACAACAGTGTTATCTGAGTTTTATAAAGAACACAATGCAGGTCTATACTCAGTTACAGAGTCCTCGTCATATCCACTCTTGTCAAAGCGTAACTACAAACAGCCCCTAGCCGACTTGGCCTTCACGCTGGAGGACAGCCTTCAACTCCTACACCAGATCAATCCATTCTGCGCTTTTGGGCCCAGTGAAATTCATCGGACGATCTTGAAAGAAGTGTCGTCTACAGTGGCAAATCATTTGTACCCGGTGTTTCGTCAGTCGCTTGACGAGTGCCGCCTTTCCTCCGCTTGGAAGGAAGCGACTGTGACGCCAATCTACAAAACCGCTGCACGAATATCGCCTGGCAGCTAAGGCCTATAAGCCTCACTAGCGTGCCGTGCAAGGTGATAGAACGCATTCTGCAGCGAGCTATCCTAGATCACCCTACTCCAAGCGACCTGATATCTTCAGCTCAACATGGATTTCGCCCACACCCTTCTTGCGTGACAGACATGCTCGTTTTTATGGACAGCTGAACCCAAGCGCCAGTCTCCATTGGAGTTCGTTAGGCTCCTTCTTATGCACGTCAGCAACCTTCCAGATTTTCTCGGAAGTCCATGTCTACTTTTTGCGGGCGATTTATAATCCTGGAGTTCCAATGCCAGTGCCATCTAAATGGATGTAGACGCTGCAAAGCAGCGGTCGTTGGACTGGTACGTTCCTCTGAATGACGAAAAGCACGTCCATATACCATTTGGACGAGACTCAGCGAATGCCTGTCACGCATGGTGAGATAGGACGAGAAAACATCATGAGGATAGACGCCAAAAGGATTTGAGTATCTGGGTATCCTTAAACTTGTCCTTCTCACTGCACCATGAGAATTCGGCCCAAAAGGCATTCGCTATTTTACGGATGATCCAGCGCACCTTCTCCCGTATCTCTCTCATGGATTTCCAAATGCTCTGTGGGGCCTACATTAGACCGCTCCTGGAATACGCCAATCAAGTGGCCTACTCAGGACGCACGAAGGACGTCACCATCAATGAGCGTATCCAGCCAGCCGGTCTGAGAATGGCTGTCGGCCTCAAATCCAAGAAACGCGTCTCGCGATGCTTGGTCTCCTTCCGCTGAAATATCGTCACCCCCGATGGGAACTAATTCTTACTTGTGCTCTGTTTGAACAAAGCATGGCCAACAGGTCTTTCACCGTTGACCCAGCAAACAAACGGCAGGAACATAGTTGAAAGATTTTCAAGCTCAGAGCGCACAAATTTATCGGATTAATTTTCTTCTCACTTCGGGTAGTAGCTGCGTGGAATGGCCTTCCTCCGAAGGTTGTCCACGTTCCCCCTAGAACACAGCTCAAAGCACTACTGGACATTTATTTATGCGAAGCCTTGCTCTGGCGAGCATACTGCCCCGCGCTGAGAACATAAAGAGCAGTGTTACACACATTTCACTTTTGACTTCCAGGTGGACGATAGCCGCTGAACGACAAGAAGAAACTCTAGCGGACAGGGACCCAAGTATGCGTGTTCAATAAAATATACAATCAAAATATCAGATTAGAAACAATAAATGGCAATAGGAAATGGACGAGTGAGTGGAACAGACTCACTAAACTAAGGGTCCAATAATCCCACTACACGAAATGTTGTGCAGTAATCGTATTCGGCGGCGAAGAATATACCCAGAGTATGAAGGATATTCTCCACTGATAGTTCGAGTTTTAGAAGTAAATTCCACGGTAGGAATTTGTCACAGCTGAAAATTGTCACAAGGAGCTATTGTGACGTTCAACAGTTCACACACAAACACAACAATCCAATCCCACGACTTCAGCAAACAGCAATCAGTTCATTCGGATGCAATTCCACTGGCTCAGCAAAAAGCAGGGAAGTCGCACCGAGAAATTGTGTATTTCACCATTTTCGATTTTAATGTAATTATTGGTACAATAAAACAAAATGTCATGATACGTGTAAAGTGTTTACAAATTGCAATTCAAGTTTATATGAAGAGAGTAGAAAATGGGGAAAATGTAACACTGATTTGCAAAACACCACAAAACTGATCCAAGAAACTTGGGCAACAACCTCGTTCCTGTTTATTAATCCGTGGGTCCCTGAAGTTCAGATAATCTAATGGGACCATTGCGCCTTTGTTTGAGCTTCTGTATGGAGAAGCCCTTTCATCTACATGAAGTGTCTCTGAACAAATTTGCATATGACTCGTGAGGATCAGCAGTGTGTGCGTCAGTTTTCTGATCTAGACACATGGTACCTGCCAGCACCATGGGTGAGAAACTCTTCTTTTGTTTTCGACTATTCAGCACAATTTTGCGCACAGAATTGACAACGATTGGTTGGAGTCTATTCCCTTTTGGCCTCTTACTTCTTTTCACATCCAAATCTGTTTAACTTCCTTTTTGTTTTACTCCATCAGTAGCTCTCTAATGCGATAGATATAGTAGGAAAATATTTGAAATAATAAACTTATGCAAAAAAACATCCGAAATCGTATTTTCCTAGCAAATTTAGACCAATATGATTGTCAGCATATTGCAAATGTTAGTTCTTTGTATAGTAATAAGCCTGATTCTGTTGAAGCATTTCTCACAATCCCTGGTATCAAGTGCAGAGAAAGACGAAGACAATGAAACTTTGGAAGAAGAAACTGTCATGAAGGAAGCAATTAATGGAGGCGAACGCTATGAAGTATGTGGAACTCTCAGTTCTCCTTCAGCTGAAAAACCCGGTTTCGTGAAAGAAATATTTAAGGTAAACATCTCGGTTTATTTGACACAAATTAAGTGACTTCTCACCTTGATCAGTAGGTTAGAGAAGATTTTAACCTGATTTTCACCCAGTGTCATTTGTAGCAACACTATCAATGCCAGAAAACGGGCTTTGACGATATTCGAATTAGGCAGGATCTCTATTTCTTTTGTGTACCAATAAACACCAAATATAAATATAGATAGCGTGATGTCATTGCACATTAAAGGGGAATTTAACAGCAAATACCATAAGTTTTTAACTTAGGAGAAGACAAGCAGTGTAAAGCTTATATGGGCCGAAAAATTGGTTTGATCTCAGAAAGTTGTTCAGCGAAACCTTATCGAAGCACAATTATATTTTGTGATTTTTGGTGAATCCAGGCAATTTGTAGATACTAGACAATCAGCGCCAAATACGTGGATCAGTTATATCGATAGCAATTTGGGTAAGAATGGTATCCAGGTTCGGCAGCAGGAGTTTGTAAGCCTGAGTTTACAGAAGATGTAAAATCAGTGCGTTAAATAAAATAATGGAAAGCGTCAATTTGGGCAGTGCGAAAATTTTTAAATGGGATAATAATCTTCGAAAGTTACTTTAGATGGGATCAGTTTTTGTCCGACAAAGGCCTTTGGGTTCAACTTTTCTCAAATGCTGGGGCTTGTGTATTCTGAATGTCTAAGTCAGAGACCAAATCGGAATGTTTTAATTTAAAAAAAAACAGAGTACCATGGAGCTGAGATCTGCCGACTATAGATATGGGCGATATGCAGTGTCAGTATCAATGAACAGGAACCTAACAAAAGTATACGTACATCTGACGTGTGTGTGTGCTTTGGGTTTACTGCAATTTATTGCAAAGCAGCCATTTTACAAAAATAACTAACTATAACCCTCCCAAAGGCAAACGTAATGCAAGCAGCAGTGTAAAAGCTGTTTTGTGAAACGATTCCTATGAAACTGGTACCCGTGAGTCACATAAGTTTATTTTATGAGAAGGTTCAGCATCCTTAGGTATACAATGGCACCGCGTCCACGGCATCAATCCGGCATTTCTATGTGTGCACTGGGTCTTTCACTTATCTATTAATATTTTAGAAAGTAAACTGTGGGGAAACACTCTAATTTTTCAGCGCCAGAAACAAGTGAATGGAGTTGTATAAACCGGGGACTTTTAAAAATATCCTTGCATCCAGCAATCTGAACCTGGTATAGCATGTTGTGCATTGTCAGGAAGCCTGCATTTGTGAACTGCTGTCTCAGTGTTTTTAGGTAATGGGGAAAGTTAAGGGGGCTTTACTTCATACCAAACCAAATGTTTCACATTTTAGTGAACTAGTTAAACTTATTTTTAGATTTTTAAGATGGGGGTGAGAGGTTAAATATACGCCAAAGTACAGTCCTAACACAAACAGCGGATATATCATTAAGGGTTTAGTTGAAAATCAGTTTTAAACCATATTTTTAACAGTGCATTGCCTTTTCTACTCATCTGGTTATGACGGTATTTCCTGTTTGGCCGACAGAAATTGTCTCATATTGCTGCAAAATGTCCTAAGGTTTAATGCGCTATGTATGATTTTGTCAGCAAACAAGTCTTATCACCAATGATTCCAAGCAGCCCGTATGCGCTCACTACGGCTAGTGTTAAGCTGTATGCATTCAAACAACATAACTCACAGCTTGACAAAATGGTTCAAAAAGTTTCAGCTGTAACCAATTGTTTTGCCTGGCTGTCATGCCACACGAAGGACTCACGAGAGCTGAAAACCCACGCAGAGAGTACTGTGTTGGTTGTGCCTTCCCCGAATGTTCAGTGATCTTCACTTAGATTTTATAAATTTTGGGTTAAACTGAGAATGACAATGTTCCAGGGCTCTTAGTCTGTTTAACCGCCTACAGTTTGTACATTCACAAATACTGGACTAATTTAAATATTTTTTCGATAACACAAATGAGATATTCGTTCCGCGTAGTAGTGCTTTGAGATCCCAGTGGTTACAGTGTACCCAATTATTGATAATGTTAATTCGAATGGATTTCGCTAAGTATGACGTGCGGATGTGAAAAATTACCACAAAGGGATTGAACTTTATTGAGATGTGGCGGTTTACATACCTGCATGATCAAGTGGTCTGCACTAAATGGTTTTAATTTGAAAATAACAGAGCTTCTCAAGCCACGCTGATTATTAAACAGGAGTCTGAGAAACACATTGTTCAGGATGTTTAAACAGGTACCGCGACTTTCTTCCTTTACATATGTTAAGGTGAGCAAAACCTGATTGTGTACAATAAAAAGAAGCAGAATTTTGGTGCTGATGGTTGTTATCTCGCCAACATTTCGGTCCCGCCTGCCGTCATTTGCAATGGTGATTTCTTGGTTCATCAACGGATGCTTATTTTCCGAGTAATGTGCTTTCTTCAATCCGCCAGGGCTGCTGTTGAACTTGAAGTTCCTTAGGTCACAGTCAGTGGTCACTTTTGCTTATATGTTTGGCTTAATACGTACTTACGAAAGTTGTACGCGTGGTGCATGGCTTTGAGTGTTTGTTGTCACGTCGATTTTTACATCTGACCCCGTTAAACGTGCACCTTTTACCTAATGTGCGAGTCTTTACGGTGCTGACACTCGGTAGGCCTTGGGGCGCATTCATCGTTGTTTTCTGTTCTTCAGTTGCCAGTCTTTACAACTCCGTTTTCATATTAAACATTTAAAACCATCTTGTATGACTGAGAAGCTTTGGTAGCACGTCTTCAAGTGGATGATTTCCTTGTCTTATATAACATTCTCCTGTTCACTTTTATTGATGGGATCTACTTTTTCTGTTTCTGATCATGCTCTTAAATGATAAGCAATACTATTGACAATAGCTGTAGCAGTAGTAGTAGTAGTGCGTTGGTACACTTCCGCTACCTTGCGATCAGGCGCTTAAGCCAAAGGCTTTGGTGAGAAGCCAAACTGCCGCGCGTTTTGGGTCCTGGTGCACACGAAAAACACCAGCCTGCTTATAATCAAGAAATGTGGATTTATAGCGATGCGGTAATATTGTGAGCACTGTTGTTGCTGTCTTTAAGTATGATGATGAGTCAAATATAGTTTACAAAACTTGTGTTGAACTAACCTTAATAAAAATTTCTTTAACACATCAACCTTGGCTCGGCTCCCAGCTAAAAGATATAGGGTGTTTGCATTTATAGTTCCATGCTCAAATGTTGCCTATAAATAATGTGATGAATGGGCTTATCACAATGTCTAGTCTTCATGTCCATTCATTAACACGGGTTTTTAAAATCTGCTAGTTTCAGATTTTTATTCAGATATTATGACATTTATATTGTGTTGTTTTGGTTTGTAAGACATATATTTTTGGCTTTTTGGGTGTGTTTGGACATGAAGGCAGTTTAGGTGTTTGTGACGGGCTGGGACTGAGATCTTTCTCGATTTGAGCGTACTCTTGTTGTTTTTATTCCAAATAAATTTACACAGCTATACAGTATTTAACCACCGCTGCCTTTCACTTGTTGATAGCGCGAATGCTAATACCTGGAGTAATAAAACACTATTCCTATCTGCGACCCAAACGATATCAGATAATGAACTATCGACCGTTACCTAAATAATTTGAATTAGCATCATCCCTCTAAATTCAGGTTGGGTGTTGTTGGTGTGAGGCATTTGTAAACGCCTACTGGCAGAAGATGATAACGTGCTTACTAACTGTGCTTAAATAAGCGCAAGATTACGTGCGCTGGCTGCAGGATCCTAAAGAAAATGATACTTTGGTTTTTGCCTTAGATCCCTGCTTACGTCAACATTATTAAACAACAAATGCCGGGGCCCTTCATGGATTTTTCGGTCCATATTCCGAAGTTAAAATGCTTACGTATCCAATGAGAGAGGAAATCCAACTGTTTCAGTGAAAAAGTTCCGTAGGCTTCCCAGATTCTACATGTACCATTTGAATGTCAATAAAAAACATATTCTCTTAAAACAAACGCTTTTATCGGTATTTCAGGGCATACGACAAGCGTCTTTTAAAATCTGTAGTTTAGATTCGCCGTTTATGGTTAAGATGCGATCAACTCGTAGTGGAAAATCAGGAAATACCACTCCGTTAATTCTGCCCTGTTTTCTGCAAAATTTCACAAAATGCGTGAAGTCTTCTGTTATCAGCTGAGCGTTTGTCCTGTAACTGAAGTCACTTCAAGGCAAAAAGCACCAAACTCCGGCTTCATTACCAGTGCGCGCCTTACGAGCCTCGCAACCTTTCGAATGTTATTTGCAGATAAAATCCTTCGGTTGCCAGCGACAGACTAACAGTGTAATTAACTCGCACTTAGCATATAGCGCTAATCGCCCATCAGTTCCGGGATTTACATCAGGTGGCCGCGTGCTGACTGCTCCCTCGGGTGACGACTTCTCATAAGACAGGTGTGAAGTATTTCTACTTTTTGTCTGTTTTGTTAGCTGGTAATTATTATGTTTTTGCTACCAAACCCTAACATTATCAAGGTAGTTGCTGTTGAAGTGGCTGATCTTACAATAGCTCAATGGAAACTATACGAACGCCAAAAATCCTTCTCCTTAAAATAACCCTACTTTAGTGCACACCAAAAACTTTTAAATTAGATTTAACGGTTAATCTAATGAAGGACGTAAGTTCGCTAAAGTACATCCAAAGTCCTTTTGCTAGATAGTGTGGTTGATTACATAGTCTCATCTTATAGACGGATAAACCTCAAAAAACTTAGTGGAAAGTTTGCCTGTCACAACATACCAAAACAAAGCTTGCATTTTATACACAAACGAAGCATTTTATGGATTCAAAAAACAGCCGTTTCTACAAAATATGGAGCTAGTAGTTAACACGAGGTGCTAACACCCACTGAAAATAGGCTAAAGATAAGTCACTGCTCTCTCAGGCAAGCTTTAGATAGTCTAAGCTATTTCTGGCCATGATGTTTCGCGCGTTTCAAGCTGTATCATAATATATTTCAGTCATTGACTTTTTTCAGTCATTCACTTTCCGTATCGTTACATTCATTTTATGTGACACCTTATTGATTGTAGTGTTCTAGTCCGTTAGGAGTTTACCGACGGAGGCAAATGGAAGCTAGTCTAATAAACATTTTGGTTATTTATATGCATTTTGTTGACTGTCCCAATTGTACTTATTAGAACAGATATTACCTAATGCATTGTGATAACTCCCCCGTAAATAATCTGGTAAAGCCTAGGTTTTCACCACTCAGCATTTTCGGATCATAGAATTTTCAAGTGCAATGCGCTGAAAAAGTTGCGAGTATTGTCCTGCCGTTGTTTTCTTACAGTCAACTGAATTTTATTCACGTTAACCACGTGCAATCAGGTGAAAGGCAAGCAGTAAGTTAGCATGGCTCATGTAAGTTAAACAACCGAGGCACTAGAACGCCTTCAGCGACCACATACCACAGAACTACCTAAAACCTTTTACGGGAGTGAAATCCCGTGAGTTGTTCGAGAAGGCGTAAAGAAAAATAAATCAAAACCGCGGATGAGTGAGAATGCTCCTCTGCCTTCTTCAGTAGGACTGATTTTAATCAAATAGTCTTTTTTGATGGAATAACGTAGCAACCATCAATTTCAATCATTTTTTCCTTTTGACATCATTCTTCATGATTTAGGGTTTTCAACAAGATAAGCTTGATTGTAAGCATTAAAGTCTGTATTGAGTGTCGATGTCCACTCTTAATAAAAGGTTAAGGATCAGCTGGTTAGCCTTTACACTCACTTGTAACTTAGACTGATATAACTCTGAGGCTAAGCTAGATTCTATCTGGATCCTTATTTTGTAATGACTTTTAAATGAATTTACCGCTCAACAATCAATTTATATGTCAGTCTGCACGATATGCAAAATATTGCAGGTCATTGTTTCGACGAAGTGTTTTATTCAAAAGATTTCTCAGGACCATTCGACGTCCAATGACCGTTTTGTTTTTAAAGCTAATCAGGTAGGGGCAGCAAATTCTTCAACCTAATCAGGTGGGACAGCAAATTCTTCAACCTATCACATCGCGAATCACAGATATAAAGTACTGACGAATTTTAAATCACATGGCACTTGCACCCATTGTGTTTTCATTCCTTTGCGTAAATTATCGGTTATTCTACTGAGTTAAACCAAAACTTCCCACGCGATAGCATAAACTAAGAATGCTGATGTGCATCCAAGGCAGTCTACGACGGTTCCCTGCGCTGAAACTATCGTGAACAACGACAGATCTATGTCAGATATATATATATATATATATATATAACATGCTAAATGTTAGCGACTTTTTCTGAAAATGTTACTTTATTTAGATTGCTTCAGCCCAGAAAAGAACAAAAATTATTCTGTCGCAGCCAAAAGGCTGTCTTGTTTGTCCAATTTGTTTGAGCCTCAGGTTGCAGGAGTTTCTGTTAGCTCCACTTCTTCAACATCAAGGCTTCAACCAATGAGAATTAGTTTGCTTTCAAAGGCGTCTGCTTCTTAAACAAGCATCATTAATAAGAATATCTGAACACGTAATTTAACTCAATAATGCCAAGGTCGATTTAATATAAACAAGTACTTAAGGTGAACTTCTCAAATTTTGTGCTTGTTTCGTACCCCCCACCTGAAAGAGACCTGTGAATAAACATATCCCCAACTCCTCTCGAAGTTACCACCATCCTGTTTTAGGGAGGTTGTCTGTGACTTTTGCATTATTATCAATTCAATTCAATTTATCAGCTATAAACTATGTACCAAAAGCACACTTGTTCCAGCTGCTACAGTTCTCATCACCGTAAAACGAGAGTATAGGATACGCAGCCAAGCATTGGAGGCGATGACACATCTGGTTAGTTCGGGAACTGGGTAGCTACGTATTGAGAGCGATAGCTTTGATGCACGAGCGCCATTGACTGCGCGATTGGGCCATTTCTGCCAATGTCATTAACCATTGGTGAAATACGTGGTATCCACTATGAAACAGTTGTTTAAACTAATCAGCGAAGTTCCATTCAGTCGTGAAGCATGCACGAACACCATTGACTGCGCGATTGTGCCATTTCTACCAATTTCACTAACCATTGGTGAGTCGAGTTCCGGGGTCTCTATCCAGGGAGACGGCAGTTGCTAACCCGACTCGGGTTACCCGATAATGTCTTCGTACTTCGTTGCCAGGTCACCTGTGTGAGCCACGTGGTAACTTAGCCAATATGGCGTATGTGGGTGCAGCCTTAGTAAACAATGAAACGGCCTGAAATGGTGAAATATTCATTATACAATACAGTTGATACATTGTGCTTACAATACAGACTATCTCCAGCTCTGTTTCTTGAAAGTTTTGAATGCGACGCTCCGCAAACGGGGGCTATTTTTGTGAATAGATCACGATAAGGTTCTTCATCACCTGTTTATTAGTTTCGGATCTCTCAGAATTTAATGCGATGCGTAAAAATAGCATCTTCAATTACCTCTTTAAGGTGGCTTTGATTCAGGATGTGGTATGTTTCAAATAACTTCTTTCTTTGCCCCAGTGCCTCACCAACAGCTTTATTGCAAACGGGCCAGTTCAGAGTTGGCAAGGGGTCCATAGTATATAAAGGGCACTTTCGACCATGATCCAGACTGTCTCATCTGCGTTGGATGTACACCCATTATTGTCGACCTTGCTTCTTCGACATGCCTGAACAATGTTTGGCCGGTTGCTGGATCGACTGACTGCTTTACTGGCCCTGAGGCAACTTTGATGTGGTCTGAGGGTCTCAGTAGGTTTTAAGCATCCTGGGATTGTTTTCAGGAATAATGCTTTCTTGACACAGTCGCCTCCAATTTATGTAGAAAGGCGTTTTTAATTTTTCAACGACTTAAGAGGTGCATCCCTTTTATAGCTTCTACTCAAAGTAACCTTGTGTAAGGATGTATTATATCACGATACAACCAAGTTAGGTGCTTCCAAAAGGAGATCAGAATTAGTCGACAAAATGCATCTTCATGGTCTTATCCGAGTATGGTCTTTTGCATTAAAAATGAAGTGGATTTTGAAATTGCGGAGAATTGGATGTGGTTTTTGGTGAAAATTTGTAGAGCCGTCAGTCTAACTGTAAGTTCGTTTGTTTGAATTGGTCAACGTTGCATAGATTATGTGTACTGTTAGGCTTTCCAGTAAGCCATGCATTAGATCAATTTCATACTGGTGTACTAACTGCAAATTCTTTTGAAAATCGGCCAAACAGTACGTAAGGGACGTTAAACAAATGAACCACCAAGGTGGTCTTGTGTAGACCTCACAGAACGATCCGCTTTGGATAATAGTTTCCAGCCCATCTGGACAGGCCCTGAACCGAACAGTAAAATGTGGTTCGGTGCATGTGCGAATAGCCATAAAAGAAGCAGGGCCGACAGTAAATAAGCTACTTTCTTCCACAAACTGAAATCGTTAGTGAGTGAAACCCAACCCATTTTGATATATCCAGTAAGCAGTGTAAGGCCATGTTTAGGTAGTATAGGTTGGGCCATCCGTACGTTAATTGCTATGCAGTGTGCTGCGCAGGTGTTTAGAGGTAGAAGACTTCCACTCCGATAGGTTAATGATTCCACAGACTTGAAGGAATTACACTGCAATGCGGTATCATTTAAAAAGTCATTTCCTTAAGAGGGTCCCCTAAACGGATGCATCTTATAAAAAGTAGCACTGTATTTACCGTGTAAACAATTGGGAATCGCCAAGACCTTTTCCATGGTTGAGGTGCTGCTTGGGCAGTGCTGTTTATTATCTAATTTTAACAGTGAAATTACTGAAGGTAATTTTCATCTGATTTGTGAACAAGGCCCGGACTTTAGGAAGCTCTAGGGGCATCCTGGGAGTTCAGTGAGGTTATGAGTTTGGATAGAGGTTTATCGCCGATTTTAATACACATGGTTGCACCGTGACCAGTAAGTTAGTTATCGTCTTTTCATGCCAGCTTAACAACTCGTCCAGCCGAGCACCAAACTTTGACCCAGAGGGGCTTTTGATAGGTCAAATATGCAACTGTGGTCGATGGCCATAAGGGGCTGTCTAGAGCACCCTGTGACCAATTTCATAGTGCATACTACGTTGTCGACATCAAGCCAGCAAACAACCTGAAACCGATGCCGATTGTTCGATTAAGCACACCAAGGGAAGAAATATGGCCTGAATATTCTGTCCACAAGCTATGTTCTGTACACTTGCCTACCAATAATTTTCTCACTTTTTGTTTGTTTCTGAACAGAACGAACGTCGAAAAGACCTGTATGATCGTGTGATTACGTGTGATTATATTGTGTACAACATCAAAGATGACGAAAATTTAATTGACGAAGCAATGTGGATGCTCGAGAAGTTGCATGAAAACATGGACCAGTATCAGCAGCAAAAAATATTCGTTCTGTTATCCACCGTCCTCACCTGGGCTAGAAGTGCCCCACTGGATGAAGTGAGCACATATATACCTTGGTGATCATCCAACGGTGCATTTAAACAACAGAAAGACCCAGATCTTCCATTCACAGATGAAGATTATGCAAGGCGTATTGCTCATCTCAACTTTCGTGAACATATTCAGGCTGAAAAAACCACCATTCATTTGGGGAAAACAGTGAGTTTTACAATCTCAACATTCAGACTCACGTTTTAGAACAAATTCAAATTGTTAACCTACGTCGTGGTTGCTGGTGTGACATACGGGGAAGGGCAAAATGTACTACATCCCTTTTTCAAGGTGAGTTCGAGTAACGGATTGTCATTTCCTGGATGCATCTTTGCAGAGACAGGTAGGTGTCATATCATTGCTTTATAGTTTGTATTGGCAAACTATAGCCACTGGAATTAGTGTTGTTAGTCTTTATTCAACTGGTGTGGTTCACCCTTGTACGGTTGGATACTTCGGAGGTTCTTGTAGGCTTTTGGTGATGCCTATCATCCTTTCATTTTGTTATTCTCTGGCTGCCTAGACTTTCGGACACTGGTGTAATAGGACCGCTGTTGGAAATGATTATACCACAGCATCTACTCTTTATAATTTGGTTCAACCGTTCTCCCCACATTTCACAGGATCCGCCTCGCGCCAGTGACGACTAACTTTCATTAAAACTGTTCGCTTCTACTCAGGTTATCTAGGCTACTTAAGGTTTGTAGAACATGCAATGCTCATATGAAACCAGCAACAGTCTGACTCACCTGGAACCCAGGTGAATTTTCTTAAGTAACTGCGTGTGCCACAAAAGGCCACCTTATGTTTGAGTTGGTACCGTATTTTAGATTGCGATACACTGGATAGAGTTAATACATTACTTATAAGTTTGATGAAAACCTTCGACAGCCCACAAACGCTTTCTTTCTTCTTTAAACCCATCAAGTAGCTGCAGTCATCGAGTTTCCGTCGACTTTATGATGTGCTTGAACCCAGATTGCACGAAGTTTGACCTATACAGTGATGTGAATGCCAGTTCGCTCTTGAATGTAGAGGAACTCGGAACTCAGCTGAATCTCTGGATTACAAAGTTCCTACGCAGACGAATGTGCCGCTACAGACGAATCGTGTTTTAGTTGGGTTTTCAGAAGTTCTTAGAAACCTTATATGTGATGTATTACTTCTATCTAATGTATTGCGATGTCTCAAATATCGTTTCAACATGAGGTGACTTGATGCAGCACATTCGGTTGCTTCAAGCAAGAGATTCAGCATGGCTCCAGATGAGTCCCCCGTCAAAACCAAACCAGCGTTCAAATGAGTGGATGTGTCGAAATCTGTCGAATTCGAGTTCAAGTAGAATATAAGGCTGATGAAAATCCAGGACATACGCCCAACTGATGAGCTTATAATGAGGATGTTCTTGGTAATGGAAAGGTCACATTAAGAAGAAAAAGGTTTTCAACAAAGGCTCGGACTAATGTAAGACACGAATTCAACTCAAACAAATAATTCTCGAATTTTCATGTGCCAATCTGCCTATTAATAGGAAACAACTTGGTTGATCTTTGCTTCAGAGATTTCAGCAAGCCCTGCTTGTTGAGATTTTAAAAAGAATTAGTAAGTCCACATCCAAATGGCTCTCGTTTTATGTCCTGTCTTGGCGCAACTATTCTCATGAGTCCACACAAAAAGGGACAACACTGAACTTGAGTTTCGGTCTCATTAGGATTCATCAGGAGGGCATTTTTTTTGACCGGCGTTTAACACTGGACACCACACATTCGAAGCAGGCTGTGCTACCACTCCATGAACCCTTATCAAAAACACCGTAACCACGCACGGATAATCAAATTTGTCCAGCTTGTTTTACGGGTCCATGTATTTTCCGGTCAGGACGAAACACGTTCACTGATCGACACAAGTAGGAGAGCTACTGTGCGGTCATATGAGCCTTCGGGCAAACCAAACACATCGCTCAAACGTAAACGTCCGTTTTTTTTTCAGATGCGTTCAGTGTGTGCTGGTGTAGTAGTGGAATTATGCTAGCCTCGCACGTCAGGTCTCCGAAGTTCGAACCCCGGCACGGACAAGTATAAACATTGCTAATGGGTTATAACAACGGCGAAACTCGGGTCCAGTTCTCTTGTTCAATCAAGAGTGATTTGGATGTGAATTCTGCAAATCCCGCAGCCACCTACGATAAAACCCCAAGTGAATAATAAACAAATATTCCATGAATAATAACCGTATGAATACGTAGATGAATAAACGAATGATGAATGACCGAATAAGTGAATCACACTACACACAATTTCAGGTCGTATTATATTATATCACGCCACAATTGACAAATGCGAAACTATCCACTAACCAACTGATGTGGCACCTTGTATATTTTTTGTCCTCATGTTCAGGACGCATGGAATAACAAACAGGTGCTGTCCGTACCAGGAAATGGAGAGAATATTGTTCCCACAATTCATGTCAAAGATCTTGCTCAGTAAGTTCCCATCGCTCATCTAGATATTGTTTGACGACATGCGAGTAGTTACACTTCAACAATACATAAAGGAAAATTGGAGCTTGGTCACAGTTACACTACGAAGTGAAACAGTACTGTCAATGTAGATGATAGACAAAAACCTGAAGGACATTATTTACTGCTTCATTGCAAAATGAATACAACGGTGATGATGACATTCCACTGACCTGCAGAAAAATGTGTCTGTTTCCGCCCCACAAAAAATTCATGAAGAAAGAGCTCTCTAGCCTTTCCTGTGGATGGCGTGTGTTCGGTCGTAAAAATGCTTTGCATCAATCATTTTCAAAGAAAATCCTTGTTGAGTTGCACCTAGAAGACCGGATTCCAGTCAAAGTAACCCTTCTTGATTTGGCCGCCATACCCAGTGTGACCAAAACTCCGAATATCGGATATGCAGAGTGATTGTGATACCATTCAATCGGTTAGTTGACAAGCATAAAAAGGCGGATCTCCGAGAAACTGTCATTTCGTCTTTAAACCGCTACCAGTAATTTCCCTTCCTTCATACTAAAATTGAATTTTTACATATACCGGTTGTTGGTAAGCTAAACTATCACACCTTGATTTCGATTTTTTTGGTATTCCGTTGCCAACTTTTTGCCCCACGCTTTGTAGCAGTGTGGACTGGTGTTTGGAGATTTGATACTGAAATTTCTTATTCCTCAAGATAAGGGACACTTGGGATGGTTTTAGTGTGGTTCCTTCAAGGATTGATCTGTCTTTGGTGAACTTAAGTTTGGTCACACTGACAAAAATAACTCTTGGTCATATGTACTAGGCAAACATTCCACCAATCTATTGACAAGACAGATTGCGATTCACAAATTAAGATGCTGTGTCACACCTTAAGTAGTTGTATTCCACTAATGCAGGGTCAAAAGAAAATCGTTTTTTAAGTTAATGGAAAGAACACACGGAGAGACTGTCTTGATTAAAGTCTAATTTTCCGCTTTCCCTTGACAGTATTATTCAAATGGTTGTGGAATTTCGTCCGAAGAAGCACTATGTCATTGCCAAAGATGAGTCTCAGAATACATTGCAGCAAATCGTCAAGGTAACTTTTCGTCAAGATGTGTATAAATGATAAATTAGTGTGCAAATTAATGGTGATGATGTCTAGGCTAGAACCAACTTCATTTGCACCAGTCTACTCCGTCACTTTCGGAGCAAAAGGTCTTGAACTACCGGGTATCCCACGAACCTGCCGCATCTTTATAACGTCTGAGTAAATGAGGAGTTCATGGCCCTGGGTGTTGCAACTGTAGCTTAGCGGTTAAACCGTAGGACTGAGGTCTTAGTACAGTGGAGCGGGATTAAACTTTCAGACCATAAAGTAATTGTTGTTTAATTCATAGAGGTACATTTACTTTTGAGTTGTGCAAAGCAATGATTCTTCTTAATTGCTGAGCAACAGAATTCTTTGGTATGATTACCAGTCGGTAACAAAATCAGAATGTTCTGCCAACTGGGAGGTATAACGAGTGATTTAAAAATATCCTAGAGTGAACAGGGGTCTGTAGGTTATTTTTGACAGATGCATTTTGTTGTCTAGCTCATTTGAGCAAACTTAGCGCAGAAGAGACTCCAAGATAAACCCACCGAAGAGAACGAAATGGCGTTCTTCATGAATCCAAGTTTACTGCAAAATTTCTGCCGAGGAAAATTCAAGAGATTCTGTCTTTCTCGATAGGACGAACGGTTAATTGAAGGCAACATTTTTAGAATAAGCGGCCAAGATTCAAACATCAGAGCAACCGGATATCGCTTATACAGTGGCTTATATACTACTTTCATCACCAACATCCTAGTATTCGGAGGGTGTATTTCGTTTGTTCACGGAAAACGAGCTCTTGCTCTTCCTGCCATTCCACAAATGGACAGAGACTTCCAGGTTTCCGTCATCACCTGAAACGTCTTCTCATCGTGGGCTCCAACATCACTGATCAATGATTCAGCTATTCTCGTTTTATAAGGTAAACGATGAGCCAGTGGACGAATATGGTTACATCGGGGGTGATATAACATGAAAATAGTGTTTACTCCGAACCAATATCAATTTAATATCTAGTGGCATGTGCTTAACTGTCCTAAGAAACCTCCTACAGAGTTACTCACATAGAAGTCTATACAAAATTCATAGGTATTTGAGATAGCCTGGATGATTGCTTCTCAGTGGTCTAGCATGCTGAAGAAATCTGCCGTAAGAAATTTTCTCAAAATGAACCTTGACTAATCAGGCTAATAATTGAAAAACATGGTCATAAAGCATAAAATTTGCATACATCTGGCTGCTGAACAACTCCAAGCAATATTTTTTCACTTAGGCGCAGTCCCGAAATTCCCACGAGGCCTACTTCTTACTTCCTGGAGCTGTTACTGCACCGCAAAAACTTGGAACATTCAACTTTTCAATATTTGTCACTCAGTACAGGTACTTGATAGCGTTACAATCAGATGATGTTTACGGTGGAAAACTCTCCAAGTGCCATGCTGTCCGCTGAAGGACAGCGGAAACCATTGAGGTCACACCAGTTATCCAATCAACAAATTTTTATGGGATATATTCGATGATTCTAGGGCTCATGGGCTTGATCAGTGATGCTCCAAGGCTATGACCAACTGTGATTAAGGGCCCCATACAACAGTCTCCCAACATGGGCGAAAATTCGTCAGTCTGCATCACCTTCAGGATGACATACTCATTCTGGTTGTTAATAGTGGGTATAAAAAATTTATGCCTGGGGAGAAGTCAGATTAACTACTGGATGGCTGATCATAGTGTGTGGCAGATAGTACCCCGGTCAATTTCTGCCGGTAGAGTTTCAAAAAACCAGGAACTTCAGACATCTCTAACAATGCAAAGCATACGTTTGCTGAGGGTCGTACATGGCCAGACCCTAAGGACACAAGACAGGGAAGAAGTCCCAAGGATTGTGTTCTAGTCTCAGGTGTATTCATTCAATGCTCTAACTTCGTTCGCCTTGAAGCGTCAGTAAGCCGCTCATTTGACTTGGATTGGCACGAAACAGTTATTTGAACACTGCCCATGAGGGGGTCAGTTGTTTGGATTTGCTGGCAACTCCGTGTGAAAAGATCACGTAAAAGTTAGAGTCGAATAGATTACTTGGGGGATGCCTTCTGACTTGGAATTCCATACCTTTGGGGTATAAATGTCGTGAGGTGAAATCAGAGGGGGAAGTCATGATGTACATCAGATCAGGACACTTGATCATCCTTTCGTAGAAAGAAAAATGGAAAACTGATATTTTCAGACGACAGCCCAATGCCACAGTTTTTATTCCAGTACGTTGCAGCAGCGTAAAGAAGCAAGAATAACCTGTGTTCCTATTAATATTCCACACAAGGTTTGCGTTACAAAACTCAACGAATGGGATTACTGCTGAAACTTCTTAACGAAAAGGTGAGGTCAAAGTTCAGCCAGTTTGCCAGTCGTCACCATACTGGAAGACTAACGAGCTCACCTATGAGAAGGCCTCTGTTTTTCAAGCAGTCACCTACATGTAAAATAGGGAACACTTACTGAATTCCTTACTGGCAGGAAAACAGTCATGATGGGCCCATCTGGTTAGTTTTTACGGAACATTTTGTACAGCACAAATCTCTATTCAAACTTCCGCGTTCTACCGATTTCGTGTTTTTCTTCTGGACAGTTGTAGATACGAGGCAGTAACCTCCCACATGTGTGCGATCGTAAATTGCGACTGTTTTGGATAACACTCAAAGAAAATTTCGATTCTGGGGTAAATGTCCCTTGTAAAATCTTTGGCATAATCTCTTCCGCCTACTAGGTGAAGCAAATGAAAATTTTCTGGGATATATTCAGAAAATTTACAGTTGAATACCTGAATAATAAGGACGAATACTCAAGTGAAAGACCACTGTTCAACAAATCGATGACGTGCTATGTCGCCTTGCAAGATGTTCCTTAAAATGGAGATTATCAATTTTCGCACGCACAAAAGATACCGTGGGGAGAAGGCTGCAGTCTTCCTTAAATGTATGGCAAATAATGAATTGAATAGAACCACCAAAGCCAGTTATCACCTCATTTGTAGGCCTTTTGCGACCTCCGACCTCATGGAGAAGTCTAACACACCTGTTTGGTTGCTCCCACGTAACAAGTATACTTGTTATACCAGAATAAAATCCCTCTTAGGTGCGGCTACACAGGTTGTTAATAACTTGCACATTTCAACCAGCACAACTTTGCCACTATATATTTGATGACTTTTTATCCGAGATCATTGATAAGTAAATGTGCGGCTCCACAGATCTCGTTGGAATACCACACCACTTACGTGTGAACAATATGGAAAGTCTTTCTATCCAAATTACCTGGGTAACCTCGCGTTAGTAAAAGTACTCACGCCAAAGAGGAGACATTACGGAGGAAGGGGTATCTCATTCTTGTACGCGATGGGGTTACACTAGTTGCCAAAATCTACCACTGAAGAGGAATCACTCTATCAAAAACACGAATACCTTTCCGGTGATCCGCTTTTTAGTGTGATCTCCGAAACATGGTCTACCCGATAGTTCGGTCAGAAAGTCTGCTTTTCTTTCTGCCTTCAAATCCTTTGCTACTGTGAATTCTGGCCAACTGGAACACTCCTATGTTCTCTGGATTGATTTAGATTCTTCTTTCGGGGTTGGTATTGCATAGTCCTCATTCTATGAAGTTTGGTACACTTCCTCAAATGCGTTTCATAGCAGTGTTACTGTCAATCATGTGTCGTTTAACAAAATCTACACATGAAAGTATCCTTTTCCCATTGTTGCCTATCCATCTAAGGCTCAACGTTTTCACACAGGGGCGTCAATCACGTTTGAAACAAAATCAGTTGTAGAGCATGTAGTCATCTGTCGGTTTCATCCTTGGATATGAGAGAGGTATCGCACCAATCTTCATTCAATGTATCACCAACTTTTTGTCAAAGGGCTTCCTATTGCAAGAGGACATCTTTGCTCTTACTAACTAATGAGCAATGTCCAGTTGTAGACATGTAGTCATCTGTCGGTTTCATCCTTGGATATGAGAGAGGTATCGCACCATTCTTCATTCAATGTATCACCAACTTTTTGTCAATGAGCTTCCTATTGCAAGAGGACATCTTTGCTCTTACTGACCAATGAGAAATGTCACTAATATTTCGGCAGGCAATCGCTAGAAGCATGACAACGGGTAAACTCACGAATATCCCGGTAGAGGAGGCTTTTCTGAACGGAGATTTTTCGGTAAGTGGTCCATGTTCGCTTGACTGTTTTCATCCATACAATCACTTCATAGCTCCTCAACAAGTTTTCAGAATGCCATTTTGCTTAGTTGCAAATGAACGCGTGCATACTGGTCGGCATAAAACTCGCATGAAGTTGCTTGGTCTACCATCAGACTTCGACCTAAGCACACTCGTAGCTCCACTGATACTACCAATGGATTTCTCTGGTGAAAGTCACCTTCATCATACGTGCAGGCAAACTAAAAACGGAGCTATGGAATGTTCGAACTCCGCACTCGAGCCTCTAAAGAATAACCCACTACTTTGGAGTTCGGCAGCTTCGATCATATGTGCACTTTTTCTTAAGGGTGAGTAATGCGCAAGAGGAGACCGTTCCCTGCCATGGGTGCTGTTTGCAGAGTCATCATTTATTTTACTGCTGGTTAACATCATTTGTTGTTCAGTTGGGTGTTGATAAGTTTAGCCGTTCACCTGTAAACTCCCCGTCACCTTTTTAGGGGACATTATCGGTGGGTAGCAGTTTTGTCTGATATGAGTTCTCTGCAAGAATGTACCATACGATGCTTGTAAATTGTTTCATAGGCGAAACACTTGAGGCTTCGGGTAAAGGGAATATTAGAGGCAGTGTAGGGATAATCTTGGATGAAAAACTCAAGTTCTAAATTTCCACGGAACTCTTGAATCCTATGGGAAAACAAAGATGATCAAAGTGATATCACAAAAAGAAACATAACCTTTGACCCAAATTATTAGGAATTCAAATAATAAAGAAATTCGTGAGGATATCGAAATAATTTGGCACTGCGGGTGCTGAGTTACCAATCAAAAGCATACTAACTTTTCCGAACAGCTGCATAGACCATAACCGAAATTCGTTGAAGGATGAGACTCGGCACAAGTTCAACAATAAATTCGCGGTTTTGAACTACGACAGAATTCATCGCACCGATTAACAAGACTATTAGTTGATGGGAGTAAACTGACGAGCCGCAAGTCACACTCAAGTGAATCAACCGCGGATACCTATTATGGATTTTTCCTTTCATCAGTTTTTTTCGGCACCGTATTTTCCGCCCTTCAAAATTTCTCATTTGATGGTCATCCGTTCATTATTCGTTATTCACGTTAGTGGTGGAACTAGTTGCTGCGAATGGAGGCAAGAATAAACAACCCACTGGTTAACCTGCGAACTTGTTGACCGGAAGGTCTGTGGTTCGGACCGAACGTAAGCATTCAAGTTTGTGCAACCCTGAAGTATCGCAGCTTTTGTGCTCTCTCCGGGTTTCATGAAAGCTGTGTGACAAAAAGGTGTTATTGCAGGACGGCTAATAATTAGAAGTACAACCAAGAGTGTGTGAGACGTCGAAAGAAAAGAAGGATGAGAAAATGCAAACATACATAAATGAGTGGTCCCAGAAAAATTGAGCCTGAATAATGCAATTGTATTTGGAGCAGGTCAGTTCATATAGGGACCACTCTATTACATGGCCAATACACGTTATTTTTTTACGTCAGTTTAAGATTTGTCGTAGAATCCGTTCAACTAAAAAACTATGCTGAGAGTAGGCGAACGCCTCCTCTTCTTTTCATGCTTACTTTAGGATGTGGACCAGCTAGGATATTTACGCAAGACAATAAAACTTAATGCACGCAAGGCGAGTTCAGAATATTGATTACATGATATTTTAGGAACATTAATATCATGGAATCTCCAAACCTATGGCTGAGTAACTGTTAATATGAGTAGGAGTTTTTCTGGCAGTAGCTTCACTTTTTTAAAAAAGGATCACCTTGACACACCTGCATAAAGCGGTGCATTCATTTATGTGCCCCTTATCTTAATAAAGCATGCTTTAAGAAAAATCATCGAGAGTTTTTCTCAGGGGAATTAACCGTATGTGAACAGCACTGAAGAGGACCTAGATCAAGCCAGGTACTCGCATTTAAGGGGGTCACAGATGCTTGGTGCATGAAACCACATCTACCAGCGGAATTCGCTAGACTTCCCAGATTAACTTGCTGATAATGACTAGTGCAAGTAGCTTGACCAAATGTACGAACTCTGTTACTTTCACCAATATGCGCCGTAGGATGATAGGTATTGGTCACGCTTACAGATCACTGTCTCTTTGCCTCTATAAAACAGCAAAATCACCTGGATCATTTGCTTGTCAATATAAGAATGGAAGCAGGACTGGTAGGTGAACTTGCTCGTTTTCGGTGGCACTGTGAGAATGGAATCGTGGAAAATATTAAACAAATTGTGCGTGAATTCAAATTGGCCAGAAAACTTGTGGTAAGTTTGCACCTATTTTTATCTTCTTCCAGGTACTAGTATTATTGAGTATAGTCTTTGCTACGGGGGCGAGATGGACCAAGTAGTTAGAGCGCGAATTTACTGACCGGAAGGTTCGTGGTTCGAACACGATCTCTGCCACTCGACTTCCCCTGTCTAGGCTTGGGCAACCTGGCAGTATCCAAGCCCTCGTACCTCCTTCGTATGGTATTGCAGCTAGGCACCGAAAGGGTGCTCCAGCTGGGCGATTATTATTACTATTAGTCTTTGCTACATTCTAAATCAGCGTGAGAAGCAGTTGGAAATGCTCAATTCGTTTACCACTGACAGTGGAATATTCGTTGCATCGAATTTCGCTACAAAATAATATTTCTCAGGAGGGGAATATATGCGTAGTGCGATTATCAAAGTGGTGCTCTGCTCACACTAACTGTTGTTGATTGACTAACCGAAAACTAACAAAGCATTACTCATAAAACCCCGAAAATCTCAATGCTAGTTTCTCACTCAAGCCGCAATTTTGGTCGAGTTGTTCAACCTTGTACGGCTTTACAGTAGCCTGTTATTTTCGGCTAATCGTTGTGAGCATTTTTTCATTCTTTGGGATACAACCATCCAGAGTGACCCAACCTGTATGAATGGGAATGAGTTTTCTTAGTGTATTGCGACAATATTGCGCTCTGTGTCCTGTCCTAAGATTTGGAAGTTGTGCCTTAAACTAACAGTGGACGTTTAATTTCGTTGTGGGATATATATCGATTAATTGGTTACCTCTGTCAGGTCAGAATGAACATCCTCACTTTCACGCCTTGCTGAAAATTTTTTTTACAATGTTGCGATCGCGCGTAAACCTAATCAATGTAACTGTATGACTTTCGTGTCATTTTTGTTCACTTTAAACCTCTGAGCATAACTGGATACGCAGAGACTATTAGTTCTTATTTCTATTAATTAGCAGTGGGTTACCGCTACGCACAACTACGCACTGATGATGTCACTTCGATTGGTGTTGAAACGTTTGCAACCAAACTGCCCAGCTCAGCGAACAAGCCAACGACCATCTACGCTACGTGTGCTACCGACATTCTCCTCTATAGTTCAGGGAAATGGTAGGCCAGTTGATAAGAAGGCCATGAATTGAACACACAAACTGATGAGTTGTTAAACGCAAGTGGTATGCCATGATGTCGTGCTGCACAAAAGAGGTCTTAATCTTAAGTCGTTTAGGAATAGAGAGCATTTGCATCCAAAGATCTGCCACCTCCGGGGATGCGATTCACACTAAGCGACTCGGCTTATGGTTCACAACGCATTTGAAAGGCACGGATGAAGGCAACTCTCTTGAGGAGATGCTCTAAAGAGCCAACTTATTGAATTCACTAGTCCAGTGAAAGATATGGTGACCTCATTGAAGGGCGACTCCAAGACGAGGACAGCATACCGTATACTACTTACCGGCTTATTTTGTTTCTATCCGTTATTCAGTGACTTTGAAAAACAGCAAACGTGCACCGAAATATCAGTGGCTCATATGCATTGATTGATAGTTGTTCGGAGGGTTTCCGACTTAGTAGGGAAACTTGGTAGCTGACTGAAAGCTGGCTGTCCTTATTCTTCACTATTCTTACAAAAACCTGATACCTACGGATACTTGTGCCATGCACAAAAAATGGAGTAGATGGCCGCTTAGCTTTGGGGGTGAGTGTGTACTTTCAATCCGAAATCGGTTGACCGAATACTACCACAGTGACCTTACCACTCCCGATCGATGTGAAAGCATGGCGGACCGCCAGTTTATTTAGCTGTCTCGAAATATTGGTAGCTGTGGTGAGTTTACCGATTGTTGATCAGGTGACTTTTGAGCTATTGCTCTCCGAGCTTGTCGGTTAAGTTGAGGACGTTTCGTCACTGGTCAGAAAAATGATATTGGTACTGGTTGGATAGATGCTTCCACCTTACCTCCAACACCAGTGTGAACGGGATCAACAAGACGATGGAAAAGGTAGTAATTATATTACTAGACAGTAGATACTGTTTAGAAACCATACAAGTGAAGGAAAGTAAGCCGAAACCGCTTACTAATATTGACTGCTTGACTGGTGGCGGAGAGTTTACAGGCTAGGCGAACAGCAGCCACCTGATCAGCAGCCAGTAAACGTACTCAGGCTACCAAATTTTCAACACGCCGGCACTCAAATCCTTCCACTTTTGAGATGAACTGTGAATAGCTAAAACTAAACAACTGTGCTTATATTGAAAGCAAAGCTCAATTCTAATCAGAACCTCTTGTCTAGAGGTTTCCGAGTTGGAATGAACAAGAGACACTGGGCCAGATGCGAATCCCTGTTTACTGGATGTTGTCTGCTGGGTGTAACTCAACACGATCTCTAAATTTGTCAGGTTCATCAAGGTAGTAGAGCGGAAGGGTCCTTGCCGTGAGGAAACTTGTTGACCAAAGTAAGCACTGTTTGCATGGTCGATGACTTGAAGAGAAAGTCATAGTATAAGGACTTTACTTGATTCGGTTTTCTTTCCAGTACCCGATGTACTTCTCCTGGGGAATAATGTTATTTGCCTACAAAGTAGTTTGCTCCTCTGTATAAGTGCGATAATGTTTTTATTGTTTCAGCCAATACGCTTGTGTATTCTGGGTCCTCCTGCAAGTGGCAAGACAACACTAGCAAAGCGTCTGTGTGAGTACTATAAACTGCACCATGTTCATATCAAGGATGTGGTTGAGTCATCTATAGCCGCTTTGGTAAGTTCCTGTAAATAGCGTGAATTAACTACTGTGCTTTTACCAGCATGAATCTCCGTCCGGTATGACTTTTTGATGGTTATTTGCCGTTTTCCTGACGGTAGTACAATCTGAAGCAGGACGTTTTCTGTAACGACTTTCTTGGTAAACGCTAGAATTTCCGAGAACATGGCCCTTCTAAGATGACCACATATCCATCCGAATCCCCATAAATGCTGCAAATAAAAGTAACTGAACTTTTGGTCCTTCTTGGCAAACGCTAGAATTTCCAAGATGACCACATATCCATCCGATTCCCCATACATACTGCAAATAAAAGTAACTGAACTTTTGGTCAACTAAACGGACAACTTTAGTACACCCCGGGCAAAATGTTGTGCTCACGGTTGCACCCAGCATAAGTCAACATAGCTGCGAGGGAAAGTCACATAAGAAGGACCAACTTACAACAGTGAATGTCCTTTATACTCTCAGGGTCCTCAAAATGATATGATTTGGTACTGGAAGTAGGACTTGCGACCTGTTGAAGTTCAATATTATTTTATTGGGCTTATGCACCAGTTTATCTAAGATTCACTTAGAACAGAAGATAACTCAGCAGCTTTTTCCATGAAATTTAAGCAGTTCATTTGCGTCATCGAATAGTTTTCACTGAATATTCCATCAATCCAATACTGGCGGGGGATCTAGTGCGCTGTCCCTTAGTGACCCCCCCCATTCAGCCTCATTCACTTCCTGCCTGACTTTAAAAATTTCTCATGTTTCGTTCGAAATGACCTACTTATGTGAGTTGCAACTGGACAATTGTTACTAGGCCAGCTTCGAAGACTGTTCAGCTGTGCTTGGGTGCACAGTTCACTCAAGCGCTACCACCATTGGCATCACTAGGGGCATTTCAAGTAGAAGGACTGACGCACGTTTACATAAATCACTCAAGGAAAGACGCTTGGTTCACAGCTGTGGGAGCTTGAACAAGGAAAACCATGAGATTAAGAACGGATAAAAGACGTTGGTTGTTAGGCTTCGAGGCAACCCATTACGGTAGAACAGAACGAACTACAGAGAAATGGCCGTAAAGGCGAAAAGATCACTGAAGATCAGATGTCAAATGAATCGAGAATGAAGCGGATAAAAGACGTTGGCTGTTAGGCTTCGAGCCAACCCATTACGGTAGAACAGAACGAATTACAGAGAAATAGCCGTAAAGGCAGAAAGATCACTGAGATCAGATGTCAAATGAATCGAGAATGAAAGCTCATTGAGCCCCATTGAGTGCAACAGCTGCTTGGATCTGTCCTTCACGTAGTGTCTCGTATTTATAAGTAATCCAGTCTAAAGAGAGTGAAGAGAATTGGAAGCATTAGTGGGACCAATGATATTTAGAGATAGAAAGTGCAAACTAGACGGTCCCTGTTGCTGAGGATGCTACTGGCTTTATCTCAGGAAAAAGGAAACTTACTTTTGACTTAATTCAGTAAGGGAACTGTGGGGCATTAGAAAGCATGCTTTCAAGGACAGTTGTTGACAAGTGTTGATGAGTAACGGGGCAAATTTGTCGATAAGGATACAGAACGGCTGTCATTGCTATGATTAGGATTGTTTAGAGTAACGACCGGAGCTGGACTCAGTCTAGAATGTTTCGCGACTTATGGTGACATGGTAGTATGAAAGCCGTAACAGCTCCCATAGGGTAGCTGGATTAAGTCACTGTGAAAGAGTGAAAAACAGATGGACACGTTCCGTCAGATTCAATGTGCATGTATACATGTATTCATGTATTCATACTAACTCTGTCACAGTGAACACCTTCAATGTGGTGAAATCTCTGTAAAGGGTCAGAAACGCTATTCTATCTTGTTGCTCGCTTCACACTAGGCTGATACACGGTCATGGATCCTGTCCTCTTCTTCAATTCCTCACTATTAACAGAAAAGAAGGAGTGAAATGGCCGCCATTGCAGCAGCAGCTGCGGCTTCCCAACCCTCCAAACCCCGAAGTCCAAAGCTAGCTGTGCCAGAGGGTGCAGAGGAAGAAGGATATGCACTAGCTGATACAGAGCTCCTGGATGCAGTGCTACAGAATATGGAAGAGAATAACGGCCGACTGACCAATGATTACATCAGCGAGTAAGTTTGATTTATGATATGCACACCCGACAACATACCAGGGTATGTAAAAATCCCTTCCACGAGGAACCCGCAAATAAAAGCTGACAAATAGGCAAGTCTAGGACCACTTATTCTATCTGTGAACTAAAATACGCTTCTTTTAAAAGAGCAATATATCAGAAGATTCCAAGATTTATCCCTACTCTTGGTTGTCTCTCCTCGGGAGGACACTGATGCTTGACATAGAAAAGAGCACGTCTGCCAAGCACCGGCCTTCCACAATAATTAAGTGAAATTGTAAACCCCTTAACGTACACTCTGAAGCTGATACGTCTTTCAAATTATCTTACTTCTGAATGCATTCTTTTATCCGTCTGTGATTGGCACCTAATTCATCTCGCCCTTGCAGTTTCTTCCGTCGAAAGCTCCATTCGAAAGCCTGTGAAAATCAAGGTTACATAATTGACGGCTATCCAAAGAGTAGAAAACAGGCAGAAGCTCTGTTCTCAGGTAAGTTGAACTGGGTTTTGTGAACAATTTTGTGCATGCATGCAAGCAGTTTTGCAATACGGCGCACCCTTCTCGGTGTTGGGTTCACTAGGGCAGCCCAAGGTCGTTTACTTGGGCCTCGTTAGGAAGGTGCAGTCCCCAAGTTTCAGTCGACCTTATGTTCTACTTAAAAACCGAATTATAAGCAATTGGAGAAATACGTTCTTTCGCAGATTATGTTGGTTTCAACGGCAGACCAAAACGGATCCCGTTTGAATACCTTGTTTATGATATTTCTCAAATGGGTTCATTCCCTCATTTTTCAGTTTCCACGATAGTTCGTGATATATTTTTAATGATGATGATGAATTCAATCCCATAGGTTAGTTTCAACGCACCTGCTACGCGTAAAATGCGTAAATTAATTTGGTGAATGGACGATAAGCCAGACCCATAGCTGCACTCGAGATCCCAACGCCCTTGGGCAAACTTGAGTTTACTCTGTATGAGTGGCTTCGTGAGGTTGAAAACACATTTTCTGTCTTATTGGAAGTGAGAATTGGTTTTGGTGCTGATTTTATTCGGGTATGGACTTGTCAGAACGATTGCCAAGGACGAGAAAATTGTTATTCGAACAAGTGCTAGGTGGATACAGCTGCAACACATAAATCAGGATCATCACGACAGGGGATAACAATGAGAATAGAGAAACACACCAACGTGAACTGCATCCGCGTTTGGTCAGAAGTCAGATCCGTGTTTAGAAAGGTTCAGCTCGCGGATTGGGTTCTCGGTTACACACACACACACATGCACAGATGCTATGAGCGACAACGACACATGTGGAACTCTAAGAATGAATATATACATAGATGAATTAGTCAATGGGTGCGCGCACATGCTTTACTGATCGTATAAAGGAAGTAAGTTAGCTCATCTGCGATTTCGGTAACCTTTCTAACTCTGCCTGACAGGGCTTGGGCAACTTTTGCATCTCACTGGATGACCGGACGGCGAAAGCGTTCTTGAACTGAAATCCTTCCCCTGGCCAAATCACTTTTGAAATTTCATATTTGTGTAACTCCCTTGAAGATAGTGGTTCGTAATCACCCTCAAAAAATACAGTCACTTCATTTCAAATCACTTTGAGGAAATGGCAGTCGCCAGTATTGTTATGGACCTCCCTGGTATCAAAAAACCGGTGGTGGATTATTTTCCATAACATCTGTGTTGGTTTTTATATATAAAGAGAAACCCATTATATAAGTGACGAATTAGAAATATTTGTTGAAAATGAAAAAAGGAGGGTAATGTGCCAAATGCGACACATTTTATATCATCTGTGAAACAACTGCAAGTGACGGTCGGATTATGGGATCTCTATGTGGTCCGGCGTTTGACATCTCTTGATATTACAGTTTATGCATACAAGAACTTTTCAAAAATATGGAGAAATGACTTCAGATATTACTCATTGCAGTGTTTTTGTAATGCACAGAGAAGATTTCAGTCCTATTACATCAGAAGATGCGTAATTCAATGGAGTACCTGACGAAGAGGTGCTTTTCAAAGTGCTGTGAATTCCGTGTTCCCCTTTGCAGTATTCATTCTCGTCTTTAGCGTCACCATTATTGGCAACAACAGTACATGAGTCGATGTTTCACAGTTGTGCAACTATTTATTTGTTTGGATAGTGGAAGGAAGGAAAAGTGATCCAGGAAGGGGAACTAAGGGACAGCCCGCAGCGAACATCTGAGATGGCTACATCTCCAAACTTCAGTCAAGCAATCTGGATAGAGACTGACAGCAGGAACGTAGCCGCCATATCGTTAGGTGTCCAAAGTAAAACACAGAAAGTGTCATGTGAACTCCATGCTGGAAGGCGGACGGCACCAGCGGCAGCTAAACTTTTCAGACGTTACATTCCGTCCATTTATAGGTTCCTGCCATTCCGAATTAGGCCGAAATCGACAGATTTCTCGACAAACGATACCTCGCCATTCATCTCTCCTGCACTACTAACTGATCAGCACCCACATTCAAGACACATGTCTACACCTTCAAGTTCTAACAATAATACTTGCTACGCTGGATGTAAATATGGACTTTTTGCGGCGCTACCCACTCATCACACTTACCTGTGGGAAGTCGAAGAAACAGTGTCAAACCATTTTCTCAAGGCTATGTGCATTCCATGCCTTTGTTTAGCTTGAAAAAAATGAATGAATAATTTGGGGGTCGAACTGTGAAAAGCATTTGCTGAAAGGATCACATCTGTGTTTTCCGGAAGATCGTCTTAGAAGTGGATAAATTAAACACACTTTTTAAGGGAGACTTGAGGCTTCTGTTTCCATTGCTGAGGAGCACCACATCTGACAGAAATACAGAGACTTCTGTTCACTCATTCCCAGCGCTACAAACATGTTAATCAGTTTATTCCATGACTGGCATCATGGTATTCGAAGAAACTGGTCTAAAGGATGTCACGCGTGTTGGAAAACGTGAGGTTACTGGACACACTATTGTTGTAATCTCTTCAGTTAAATAACCTTCGTGTTGATATTAGCATAAAAATGTCTTGATGAAACAGACTTGTTGTAAGGTCAATTCCCAAGAAGCTAGCACTCTCATCCTTATTCGAAAGCATCAGATGGATATCAGACAGACCACTCTCGGACAAACAGTTTTGGACGATTACCTCCGGTAATTGCCGGGATCAATCACCAGCCAGGGCTATTCACCAGTAGCTTAGTTGACAACAGATCGAGGATCACACCTAAACCAGAGTCTTCCTCAATTCCTCGAATATCGAAGACTGGGAATGGAAGTCCCTGTTTGTTTCCACTCACCCGTAACTTGGCAGTTTACCTACGTCCAGTGCTTTCATCTTTTTTTCTTAAAAAAGTGATTTCCATTAAGTATCAACGAATTCACCAATTTATTACGCCATAGGTGTCACAAGTTTCACTGATGAGGACGAAGAAGCAGAAGAAGGCAACGAAGTCGAAGAAGGAGAAGAGTTAAAGCTCAAAGATGACAGTACACTGACACAAACTGAGCTGTTCGCGAAAGAATATTTGAACACCGGTTTCAATGTTGTGGATGTCCATGGGGAGCCGATTCGTCTGCCAACTCAACCAATTCCAAACCAGCTACCTAAGGGTTTATTGCCGGCATACGTGTTTGAACTGCAAGCCTCGGATAAATTCCTTCGAGATCGGATTATGAATATGCCAGAGAGTAAGGTTCAAGGAACACACTACAACGAGGCTGGGCTGCTACGGCGGTTGAACGAGTACCGTGTAAACCAACTGGGACTTAGTCCACTCAATCCAGGAAGCTGGATCGCCCCTGATCCTGATGCAGAAGAGAATGGAACAAGCAAGGTTCCACTGAATAAGCTAGCACTTGCAAGCATCAACGAGAATTCAATCAGGGCTTACTTCGACTCCAAGGGAGTTCCCCAGATCCCTGTAGATGTGATGGGCGATGAAAATGAGGTAAATTCGGCCAAAAGTTTATTCTGTTTACATGGGTAATTGGACATATTCGCACAGTAAACGTGACACCATGTAAAAAAGACGAAAGTAATTAACTCAGTCAAAAGCCTTCCTATACTTATGCCCATTTCTCTGCACATTATTTTCTGTAACTGATTTATCTATTCTTCATCGTCATCATCGACAGCATGACATCAGTCTTCAACACCGATGCTCCACCGTAGTGCAACAGTGAGTTATTTGAAACCCTTATTGTGAAGAAAAAATGAAGATGTAATTTCTCCCAAGGAGACGAATCCTCTTACGAGACAGTGACTTAAAAGTGGGAAAGAAAGCATGTTTGATTTCAATATTCTTTTATGAGAGTGGTATGATTATGAAGTCATATCTGTTCATGAAAAGAAGTGAATTCTCCCCGGAGAACTTGCACATGTAATACCCTAAAAGTCGACACCATTCGCTACCCACTAGAAAATTAAACCAAATTATATATCGCCAAGCGGTGCATTCATCTTGATTCGATAGCACGTAACTTCCTGACCCAATGGATCACTGTATTCTGTAGACCAACTAACCTTCTGACAAGCCATGCTGTGGTATGATGAAAATATCTGAAATACCAGACAAAGTGATTTGTCCCAAAAGTAAAATTCTTCGAAGAGAGACTAGGGGTCAGGAGAGTTCATCGCTCTCAGTTCCCTGTCGGCCGCGACATACGATGTGGTCTTGTCAATCAGAGGCCATTCCCAAGGGATAACAATCTCATGGCTTTCTTCATAGTTGGAGACCTTGAGGCAAATAAGACGGCAGTTTCTATGGCTCCCTGGGAGTCTTTCACTCAAATTGCAAAATGTTAGATCTCAGGCAGGCAGAGTAACTAAGCGTAGTACAGATCTCCATAGACTGATCATTCGAACGAATGAAGATGTAGAGACATTGTTGATGCATTAGCGGTCGGAGATAGGAGGGGGAGAGGTGGGTGAAGCCGTTGAACGTTTGAACAAGGTAAGCATGAATTACACAGAGAAGGAGATGTTTATTCTCATCGATGAAAGAGAGAGAGTTCTGAGATTGTTGGTGATGGTAACACAGAGAAGGAGATGTTTAATCTCATCGATGAGAGAGAGAGTTCTGAGATTGTTGGTGATGCACTGTGTCAACCAGAGAAGTGCTCCTTCGGATGCAAAATGCAGGATTGATAAACAGGTAGGAAAGACAAATGTTTGCAAAAAACAAATTTAAAACATGCAGAACAGTAAGCGAAATCCAATTTCCTGAATGCTGTTGCGGCAATCCTATTGACATAGACGGCCTACAACAGCTGTTCAGGATGGTGAAGAAGGTTTGGCACACTGAAAATGCAGCAGTGAAGTAGGAAGGAAACATGGGCGCACCTGGATGCGTTAAATGTTGCTCTTTTTTTAATATGATACTCGCAAAGTTTAGCATAATCTGAGTTCATAGTAAACGTCTGTCTTAAATTTGACAGCACGCAGATTAGAGGAAATTACGCGGATTCTTAGATGATAAAATCGTCCGCAAATGCGTACATGTTGGTGAAGACCACAGTTAGTAGTTCCTTGTAGAACGAGAAAGCAGGACATTGAAAAGTCTCGCTGATGGTATCCAAGGCAACAGAAGCAACTCCGTGAAGGAGAAACAATCCACTCGATCACCACGCCCATACACATAAAGTTTGAACAGATGGTCAGTGTGCCATAGGTGACGGAAAGATCTAGCGGTATCCAGTGCTGTTAATTCCCTTCCACCAAAATGGTCTAGAGCAGAAGACCAGGGGAGTAACAGGTGAACCAAAAGATCATTTGTGGATGCTTTTTGCAATTACACAGTAGATTTATGTTGTGCAATATATACAAAGACTACTGGTTTTATAACGAAATGGAGAAATGGGGAACGAAATGGTGAAAACGTGTCGGTGTTTATTGGTGTGCCAAAGAGAGATACGTTTGGAGCTTAAGAGAACGTGGGGGTAATTTCCAGCATGGTAGGCAAATTCCCATCAAAAATGACAGAGGAAGCGAGCTAAAATGGATGCTAGTTCAGTTGTACGATTGTGTACTTGCATAATGATATCCTCAAGATCTGCTATGGTTTTAGGGAAATAATGAGCATCTGGAATGTGATAGAACGGGTAGACGCAGGTTTAAGGCGTATCGTCTCGGTTTGGCTCAGGAAGAGCCGATCCTGTTCTGCTCATCCGGTACTTGGTCTTTTTCCTCTTGATAGAATAATCTTTGTGCAGATAGAACAGCATTTGGAGAACGACTATAAACCGGAATTGGTGCATACGATCTCTATTAGTGACGATAGGAAAATGGGTTGTAGTGATCAAGTAGAACTTTCGTATACATTTAGTCAAGTAGTATTCTGGTGCAATGGATTAAGGAGACCCAAAGATCTTAATAGCGATGAGTCAGTGGAGAGGCAAAAATCCTAGTGATATGAGGAAAAGTGGGGTGCATTGTTTGATTTGCCTAAAAGTGTAGCCTAGTATCGCATTGGTAGGATGGGGGTATTGTTGTCAGAGCCGAATGAGAACGTATGATGAAATGGGTATCCATAGATCCCATTGTTATAGAAGGAGCCAGTGTACAGGATGGGACCTGATAGTGAGGAAAAAGTCCAAGGTTTGTGATTTGTCACCGGGATAGTCCAGAACTTGAGTGAAAATGTTCATCAGTTAAAAAACGACAAATCGTAGGAAGTACTCTGCCTTGTGTCTAGCCTTATTACTTGAGATTGACGGAGCAAATTATTCGAAGCTATGGACTTTGGGGCCGTTAATAATTGAAGTTATGTTCTTAGAGCCCGATCGCAGAAGTCACTTAGGAGTGAAAGATCTTCAGATGACCTGGGGCCATTGAGAGAAAGATGAAGGTAGCAGTTACATTTATTAGCTCGGAAAACATCATAACATCCATCGGAAATCTGACTGCTGCGCGTGGATCAGTCCGGCAAAGATACTTGAATGATAATTGCGGAGAACTGAAAGGAAGTATGAACTTCCTTTTCAAAATAAAATCAGTATAATAGGCAGTAATTCCGGTAACAGATGTAAGTGAAGTAACTAGCTCCGGAAGTTCGAGTTTCGGTCAGTAACAGGACAGACTGGCATTGTTGTTTTTGAGGCACCTTATTTAACGGAATGAGGCTGAGCTGAGAATGACTGGTGTTAATGATGTATCGTATTGTCGTGGCTTTTTCGTGACGTTGATCAGCAACCCAACCGGGGCCAATGAGTCAGGATTCAGGATGGGCTGTGATAATTTCTCGGACAGTAATACTGGCCAGCTGTTTACAATACGTGTGGGCTTACGTGACTTGCGTCCAATAGCGGTATGGTTAGGCATACCTATGATCATGGGTCGGTTCATTTAATGTTAGTCGACGTAAGCAAATACGACTGGGGTGATCATGTTACAAGAAACACACCTTCGTAAATCTGCTGACAAAGGCCGTAAATTTTTTGATGTTATGGAGTTTCTTTGTTGCGAATAAGTTGGATTTAAGTCTTGCCATGAAATCTATTCTGTAGTGTCTTTTGTTGTTGTGTTTTTAGAGCGGTGGGTTTTGTAACAAAGTAGGTCTACCGTCACCAAATTGCAGGTGTTACATACTTTTCATAAGGGGATGATCGTTTTATTGAACGCCTTGCGAAACTTACAACCATAGTATGAGTATTCCAGTGTTTTTTATTAAAAATTGGGTGTGTCAGATAAAAAGTGACCGTTAGTCGTTTATGTCAATGGCTGGATTTGCTGTTTTCATGTACGGGCGATACTGACTGGCCATATATAAGGAACTCACATTTGAGCCTGACGGTAGCCAACTGAACGCGGTAGATGTTAGCGACGGTTCCAGTCACTTAATAAACAGCTGACCCTGAACTCTAGTGACTGCTCAAATAGGCTTTCTTTCCCATACTAATAACCGACCCGAATTTCGCTTTCATTCTGTGCAGAATCTGGAAAGTACGTTTCGAAAAATTGTTCATTTTATTGGTCCTCCTCGGAATTATGGACTTACACCAGAGGAACAACTCGAGCAGGAACAAAAAGCTATCATGGAGCGTATGGAAAGGGAACAGATTGAACAACAGCGAGTTCAGATGGAGGCAGCTGAAGAAGAGTCCAAGAGACAAAAGTTCCAGGAGGAATGGGTATGTCTCCGTCAGATTATGATACGACGTGTTATTATTTACGACAAAATCACTGCCAAGTCATTGTTTGACCACCTCTGGCTTGTTTCCACCCTTTACTGGTTGCGCAGCAGTTTTACCCACCATTGAAAAGATGATGCGGAAGAAAGGCATTGTTGGCTGCCTGTTCAGCGAAAATTTGAAGCGTTCCTTTTTCTCTAATTATTATTATTACTACTATCGTTGACCATTTTAAGAGGAAATGTCATCTATTTCGGTTATGGAAAACACTTTCGTCACTCTGTTGCTTCATTTGCTGATAAATGAACTCTGTTGGATGGCAGTTTACATTTGCAAGACCTCAACATACTGGCGACCCGGATCACTTCCACGTAGTGATACGAGAGGATAGCAAAGTGGTTGGCAGTTGTCATGTACATTTTGAGGTAAATACACTTGAAGGAAAAACCCTCTTTTGAGCACACGCTGCAAGGGGTGTTAGGAGTCAACTGTGAAAAAAAATTATCGGCGTTTTGTGTTCATCTCTCCCCAAAACCCACAGAAAACAAAACGGGAGGCCATGGAGAAACAAGAGACTGCGCTGTTGGACAAAGAATCGGAGCCGTTACGTGCCTACCTGAGAAAACACGTGATGCCCGTTCTCGCACAGGGTCTAACTGAATGTGTGCGCAGAAGACCTGAGGATCCCATAGATTTTCTTGTAAGTCATACTTATCCAGAGCTGTTTGTTAACACACAGTCTCTCTTTCATTATTACTGAGTCCACAGTCTCGAAAATACAGAGGAAAAGTTGCACTTCAAAGCCGTTATGGAACGCTATTATGGATACCATACCCTGCATGGATCAACCGCGCAGTTTGAAAATTGGAGAGAGTAACCAAACGGCTAAACAAGTCGTTTTCCTATAAAGCTAATCTTCGAAGAATCCCGCAATGACTATTGTCCAAGGGTAATCTCCACAAACAAGATAGATTATCCTTTCGGAATGAGGAGTTGCTTTGCCTGATTTAGTTATTCTACAGTCTGCACTGAAGTACATATTGTCATCCCTACGCAGCGACTGAATTCGACCTTCCTAACAAACTTTCAACATGTAACTTCTCGGCAAAATGTCATTTTCTGATATGCGAATGGAACTACTGAGCTACTTGTATCCGGTTTATAAATGCCAATGATGGATGTAACAAGACCGTTTATCAACGTTTAAGATGATCGCCTGAAGCACCATACCACCACTACAAAAGGCATTAGCGTGTTGAAGTGTGGGACACGACGGCTCTAAACTTGGGAAGCGTGATTCATCCCTATGAGCTAATCAGGTGTAAGACTCAACACTGTTGTACTCTGTGTTCAGCTGATCCGGCACAGAAGTGGCCGGGTCTGTTAGGTTTGGAGCGGTATAGCTTCAGCAAACAAGTGCTATACAGTTTTCGTCATTAAAGCACGTTAAGGCTGCTCTACAGTGGTGTGCATACGTAGATTGATAGGACTTCCATTAGTTGGCATTACTAGTTCGAAGCAAGCCATTAGCGGAGTTCTCAAACCGGAAACTACAAATTGGTTGTAGAGACCGGTAATCCTCGTGAACAGCAATACACTTGCTGTGGTAACCGGTATCATTCAATCATGGAGGCCACAGCGAGGAGTGGCAAGAGTAGGGTGGTAGCGTTACTGTAAAGCTAGTCCTAGGTTACAAGAGAAACGGTCCTAAGCAGGTTGACTACACTTTCAAAATCCACTGAAGTGAACACAACTAGGCATTGTTCGGAGTCAAAAACCATCAGTGAGACCGACGCGGTATCCTCTAAAAGACTCAGCAAACCCAGATATAGCAAACAACAGAAAATTCTAGGTCACATTCGCTACTAGAACGGGTTACCTGTCACGTCCCTCATGGGTTTTAATCACATCTAATAGATACATGGATCCACAGAGCAAGGAACGAAGAGGCCACAACATTCAGGTTCGCAATGGTCGGCTTCAGCTTTTCCTCGGAATTGTAGTCAAGAATGACTTGGAGTGTAATTTTTCTTGAATCGACGGTGACTGGCTGCACATACTAGTTCAACTGAATACCTGGGCCTGATAGTTGCACTTTATCGGAGAACAGCGCAGGGACCGAAAACACGTGCGTGTGTCATTTCAAAAGAACAAGCGGAAAGGCTTCCGGATGAACATCGTCGGAGAGGGTGATGTTGAGGGGTTACCGGCAACTATGCGAAGTACATACGGAGTCAGATAACCAAGTCACAAATGAAAATTGTGTAAACCACTGATGGGCACCCAATGCGAGCGAGCAGTATGATTGTACCACCTGGTCCATAGTGCTGTAGCAAATCGGGAACCGATATTCAGAACTCGTGCTGTTCAAGCAAGACTAATGAACCGGTTGTGGTTGATCTGTGATTATGGATGGGCTGCACAAACCTTAATCTTCCCATGACCATTCATGCCCAAGTTTTAGCAGTCGTTGCTTGAGCCAAACGAAGGGTAAGTACGCATGATGTTTATCAGAATCAGTTGCAATATGGCTCATTCTCTGGAGCATGTTCACTGTCATCAAGGGCACTGAAGATATTAAAGGGTTACGAGAAGTCACACCTCTATTCAGTAAAAACCTATGATCACGTGTAACGCAGTACAAGAAAATGATTGTGGCGCACAGAACAATCACAAGAAGAATGATCTTGAATGAGTAAAGGATGTTTCTCTGCTGGATGAGCCTACACTGCACTTCAGCCAACTTTGGAATAGACAGTGTGGGTTCGTTCGCTAATAGTAGACGTTTTTGTTTAATACTGCGGGAATCGAGTCGCTCAAAACATATTGTGCTCGTTCCGATATAACATAATTGAATTATCCAGCCCAACTCTTCTTCTTTGTCTCTCTTTTATAGGCTGAATACCTGTTCTTCCACAACCCTCAAGTGGATTAGACAAAAACGCTGAAAACCCACTTCCTCGTTCAGGATAGACGTGCTTCGCAGGAGACGGGCGGGGACGGCATCACACTAGTCGAGTGCTACTCATACACTATCTTTCAATTACACGACACATACAGTTGCTCACGGACTTTCAATTTACTGAAGGTACTGAAGATAGCACTACACTGAGTCCTCGCAAACTGACCTCAGTGGTATCCTCCATACAAGAAAAGACGCCGCACCGTCAAAGCTTGATATGCGACTCACTTTTTCACGAGCCAACCAAGGCAGGTGGAAAAGAAGCGATGATAACTGAAAATAAGTCCAGATCACGCAAATGTTAAATTGTGGACTTCTGGAACAGGACACAAGTTTTCGAGGTTCTCTTCCAAGTCGTGGTCTAAGCTCTGTTGGAAAATCTTCCCTGTGAGCATGATCGCTCGAAAGAAGTTCTTTAGGGGATTCCATTCACCAGTAAGTGAACCACGTGACTGAGGAGGCGCAACCTATGGGGTACCATCAGCTCACCGACTAAGCATTGGCTCCTTCCTCCGAAAAATCTACGCAGGTCGGTAGAGCTGGTTCAGTGTTCTAACCAGAGGTAGGGAACTTTGAAGAGATCAACGGTCAAACACCAAAGGTATTTTGATGTTCCCATCTAGCAAGAACATGGCTCATCTGGTACATCCAAGAGTAGGGTAAATATTCGAGCAGTAAGTTCGACATTTGGAATCCACGCACAAAAGAACGGTGGGTGACCGCATGGCACTGTGGCCATTAGCCAGATCATGGACAACGGAGACCCCTGGAAAAAGAAATTTGTCTACCTCAATCGGCTCTTCCTACTCAGTTCTGCAGCAAGAGGTTACAATTTACAGACGTGAAACACAACCAACAATGTGGTAACTATTTAGTTTACTTAAAATTTCGCACTCTCCTGTGGTTAGGGCGTAAAGTTGCTGACCATAAGGTCAGCGTTCGAACCCGACCCATGCATCTGGACTTCTTTCTAGGCCTGGGCAACTTGGCAGTATCCCAGCCCTCTTGCTCCCTTCGGGTGGCATGGTACCTAGGGTAACAGCTGGACGATTTTCATCATTATATCGATAATAAAGTTAGAGGTGAAATTACGCGACGGTCTCCCGTGTACGTGGCAAACTCACACGAATCATTTGATGTATACAATGAATTTGGATACCATGTAAGCATCCTATTGCCTGACTGAAGTAGAATGTAAAGAACCCACAGTGGCTACTTATTAAGGACATTTGTAAATAAGACACCTATTTGAACGCCGAAAGTAATGATACATGACGACTTGCTGTTACTTTGCACGCAAGGTGCAAACATACACAATAAGAGCTTAGTAAATGTCAAGCAGGGAAGTTTGCGCATAATACTAGCACCGTGAATCCACTAGCGATCGTCAAAACTTATGATGATAAATAACCACTCATGAACACATGATCCTGGATTCTACTACCGACTTTGTCAGATAAGCAACTACGACCGAAAGCTTTGAAAACTTTTGTATTTTTCAAGCGGTAAATTCGTCTCAAAGTAGGTTGGGTTCACGCGATCTCAGCGACCGAAATCCTTCAATAAACAATCGAATAACATCAATGGGAATGAATCGTCCTGCATTTGAAAAAGTGTTATCCATTCATATAAGACGAAACACATGCATTCAACAGCGCACCGTCACATAGAGGGGAAGGGCAGAAAGACACGAGGGCGACGACTCCATTGATTGTATGTGGAGAAACAGCAGATCCTATTTTAAGTTTTGAATGAATCCTTGGACCTTGGGATGGAAGTCAGAAGGTTTCGTCTACCTCTTCATTTCACCCAAATCTTCGATGGAGTCTTCATCGATCTGCGGAAATCAAGGCAATCACGCGATTATCGAAGCCGAAACGCGGTTATAAACCAAACACCAACGATATTCTGCTACACCACTATTACTATTACTAATAACGTTGATAGCAATATTAATAATAATAATGATAACGACAGGAACTTGGGACATCATAATCAAGATTCGTGTTGAAACAGCTGCGTAGTCGGTGCCAAACTGTCGTAAAAAATCTGCTTAGCGTGGTGAACCCGATCTAAGGAAGACATGGGAAGTGACAGCATTCAAATTGGATCACCTGCGCCCCAAATATGAATATCGATGTTAACACTGATGCTTCACTGCCATGCAAGCACAAGGTCTATTTAATTATAGTTAGAATATTAAATTAAAAAAGGGAAGATGACGGAGAAACCTAGTGCCGCCTTACCACAAGTATTTTAAAGTGCTTATACCTCCTATCCATGAACCAGATAATTCGAAAAGAAAATGACAGCACGAATGCCACTGATATTAATTAGCTGACAATTCTTGCAATGTCTCCAGCCAAGCGAATGAGGCCACGAGGACCCCATCCTGGGAGGCGGACCGCACCAACAGCACCCAATCTCTTTGTAATCTCTCACAAGCTTGTGTCAAATCATACTTTGCCCACCTAGCGGTTTGCGCCATTCTGAAGAAGGTACGAAGAACAACATTGGTCTCGGTAGACGAGGTTTCGGCATGGCCGATCAAACGAAGTCGATGGCGACAGATGTCCCCGCGAATGAAATACCCACCGTACGACCGAATACCTGTTTTCGAATTACCTCGCTACGAATTCGTTGACGCCATTCGACACCAGCAATGCTTCTGAAACATCAGTGGTCAAAAGCCTCAAAGCGCCTCATATCAACTGTCCACAGAGGCCGCGTCTCGCAGCCGTAGTAAGACACAACTCTTACTGTGGCTTGGGACCCAATGGTGTGCCTTTTTGATGCCACAAGTTACGCTAATTAGCAAACGTGATTCGGGCTTTTGACATTCATGCACTGACTTCATCAGACACCTTTACATCAGGGCTAGCACAATTAGCGAGGTGGGTAAAATCCCCCAAAAAGTCCAAAAACGCTCCATGAATTGTAAGAGATGTTCAGAAGCATGAATGCACCTTGAAGATACAAGAAGCATGCCGACAGATGGAATGATGGTGGACAGTCTATTCAACAGAGCTTGGGCTTTGTCTTCGTCTCCAATATTTAGAACGATGCTGTCTGCGTACTTCAGATCGATAAGCTTATCACCACCAAAAATTTGAACACCGAGGTTTCGAGAACATTCCAGTATTTACCTCATTACTTCATGGATAGCGAGGCTGAACAAGAGTGAAATGATTGCATATCTTTGTCGCACATCACATTTTATAAGGAAGCTACTGAAGAGCTCAACGTACGCTCTCATACGCTCAGAAATAATTATGTTCAAAAGTGTGGTTAACAGCACCGACAGATCGACAGAATCGCACCCTTGAATTCAGGTAACAGCAAGATTGAGTCGCAAGTACACAGAGCGTTGATCCAACACCTGAAGATGTGGTTAACGCAACTTCTACCTGGTCGAAAAACCACTTGATGCTCACTGGTCAAGGATTTGCGTGCCGGTGTGACACGACGAAGAATCAGTGATGCCAGAAAGCCTTATTCTAACTGGAGTGAAAGTGACACTTGCGGCTACCACATCACTAAGAGAACCTCTTCCGAAGACGGAAACTGTTATCGACTCACCCCAATCGTCTGGGGGCGGTCTCTTCTTCCAAGCTAGACGAAAACAGGCCAGAGAGCCAAGGGATGAAGAACGCACGGACGTTCTTTAACAACGCAGGTGAAAGGTGACCGGGACAATGAACACAGTGGTGCTCGAGCTGGAATATTTCTGAGACTGAAGGGAGATCTCGCAATCACAACGAGTGCTTCCAACAAAGACAGAAAGTCCGTATTGGAGGTAGCAGGTGACCAAAGGGATTGTTGCCCAACGGTAAAGACGCTTTCCTCTGTTGGATATCAAACAGCTACTCTGGTTTTTGATGGTTTTGCTGATAAGGAGCTTCGGAAAACAAGTCGAGCGAACCAAACAGAACCATCTAGAAACTTGTTCAGTCTGTTTGTTTCTTGATTTCGGGCCAACCAACCTTCCCGGTCTTCAGGGACGCTCAATTTTAATTGGCGTCGCATGATGCTGTAACCGGGAGGAGTTTGCCACCGTGCCTCCAGCAAGCCTGTCTGATATCCAGTGCTTAGATGAGATTGGCTAGACAGTACCGCAGACAGAATTTCACGCACAAAGTGGAGCTCTGAAAATGTCTCCGGTAACCGTTAACATCCGACAGCTTACCAATCGGTAGGCGTTCGAGGAGCTGGTTTTGATAGGTGGGCCCACTAGCTTCTGTGTCAAAGCAAGGTGTGCGCGCTTCGCGTAGACCTGAAAAGCGCGGTGAAAAGCAACAGTGGACAAATGCATGGTCGGAGTCTAAGCAGTTATTCCAGAAAGAACGGCAGGCGGTGACCAACCCTCGTCACCGGTGAGTGACGGCAACGTGACTTACTGTATACGGGGGTGGTTCATGTTTTGGAATCTACACCCTGGTTATTCTGATATATTCTTGGGTCATATAACGCCAGTGTTATGAGAAATAGTAATGAGGCATGGTCGGATTCGGCAAAATGAGATGGTCAACAGGAATTTTATCATTATTAGCGTTAGGACAAGCTAAACGAAACCAGAACCAACAGCGACAGAAACGACAATAGTAACTAACCTCTGGCCACTTTTCCGTCAGCAAGTCAATAATTTCATCTTTGACGTCACCCTGGATTACAATCTCATCACCGTTCCCGGTCACCGAACTTCCCGTGGCGAACTTCTGTCCAAAGACCTTGGAAGCAACCTTGAGTTCAATTCCTGGGAAAAAAAAGTTAGAGAAAATACGGGAATTCCACTGGGAAAACTGAGCGTTACTCTCTGTTGGGTTTAAAATGTTTGCCAGACTGATGAAACAAAAAGCATCAGCAACAAAAATTTCCAATAATCACTAATTCAGTTGACAGTAGTCGCGGGATATGGAGAATCCGCGTTCGCATCACTCTCGTCTAAATAGTTCTCCTGTCCCGGAGCAACTATTCTGGTGGGTCTGCACCACAAAGACGAAACACTAGACTCGAGTATTGATCTCACTAGAGCTCATCAAGTTGCACTGATGGAGTAGTAGCACGCGCTTCCCAAAAGTCATATGTGCTGATTGAAGCGAAGCAGAATCAGCATGAACGAATATCACGCAGGGATTATACGCATAAGCCGTCCAATGAATGGGTAGTGAAGTAGTCAGCTAATACTGTGGCATCCGTGCGTTGGATGCTTTGCTGCTGATGCAAATTTAACTGTTCAAAATGGCCGATCTACAGAGTACGTGCTGTTTGCAGAAGTCAGGCAAGGTACAATCCGTGAGTCAAAAGAATTGCTCTCGGCGAACAAGAGTTTATCCAGGGCTATCAAACATTACGTTGTATATGATAGTGATCAATACATGCACAACACTGTCTCCATTCGATTTTTTTAGAATGCAGCAGAGTACCGTTTTCCTATAGTAAGATGGAATATAATACACATACAGTGACTTCGAGAGAATAGCCATCTAAATATTGGCTCAACAGTTGGGGCGCAAACTTATTGACCGCAGAGTCCGTGGTTCGGAACCCAACTCTGCATCTCGAGCGCTCACCTCTAGGTTCGGGCAACCTCGCAGTATCTCAGTCGTCGTGCTTCCTTCGGGTGCCATGGCAGCTAGACACCGAAGCACTGCTACAGATGAACGATTTTTTTCAGTCATTACAACTCTATTCCACTGGCCATGATGAGTAAATCAGCAAGACCTGAGGTCGATACATGGTTCCGGAGAATTCGTCCTGACGGTGTTCGTTACGCTCGAGACAGCTGGTTAGTTAAGGATTGCGACTTAATTCCCGGAGCTTCCACCTATAGGTCGATTGCACCGGCATAGACTCCGGTCACTTGGCGACATCATGACTCTCATGCCCTTTCTGAGTGTAATTCACTGCACACGTGAATGGTAGCAATGTATTCATGCACCATAAAGCGAACGCAGCCGTCTGATCTGACGTTGCAAAGCGTTCTATGAGAAACAAATTCCCTTTCTGCAAGGAAGACTATTATCTAACGAGAAATCAACCGAAAAGCGAATGCAAACATGCCCGGAAAACCGAGGTTCACTAGCTTAATTGGTCAATATCTGATGAACGAGCACATGAGGTTTGCAAAAAATGAGGGCTTGCCACGAAAACTGTGGTTCCCTTTAGAAGGCATAGCAGTAGAGGTGGATAACAGAAAATTCACAGGGTATGGAGAATAACATCTTTTATACAGGATGACGAACGTATGATGAAGTGTGGCAGTAGCACCCAGCCATATCCGGGAAACATGTAAGACACTTTGTTAGGTATATGAGAGTTGAGCGTAAAGACAGACATTGAGTGAACATTGCGCTCTGCCTCTGGTCTGAATTCCGGTGAGACTTCAGAGCCCAACTTAGAGTTAGTCTGCTTCTCTGTCAACACCATCATCCTTACAGCATTTGACAGTTCCGAGCGTACCAGCTTTATCCAGAGAGCCATAAGCAGAAGTGGCTGTAAGTCACAAGATAGCATCCAGTTGATAATGTGCTGATAAATGAAACTGTCCCCTGCGTTGACTACTGGTGAATTTTGTTCTGATTCAGATGTAAGCATTTTCATTTTCATCCAATAAGATAGGTGAAGACAAAGACTTTTGGTTGCTTTCACTGTTAGTCATTCGACAATGAGAGTAACCCTTTTCTAGTTACGTAGTGAAACTCCTGGATGCCAATCCCACAGCATCAGTTAGTTTCCAACTCATCTGTGCAAATAGCATTGCGGAATTAGGCTCAAAGCGTGTGCAGCCCGAGAGGGTGCACTTTTGCTTTAGAAGCATAAGTTATGCCAGTCCTGAGAGTGCACACTCTTCAGGAGAGTACTGTGAATCGTATGGACAGGATCAACACAAGAACCTGACTTGTTTGAAGCCCCGTACTAAAACATTGCCACTGATACAAAGCATGAAACTCAGCAAGTCCCATAAAGCGATCAACCAGAATTACGAATAAGTGCTCGGGAGCTGTCTCCACATTGTGGACTGATTCATGAGTAAGAAACAATCCAGTATCAAGGTACCTAAGACTAATTTGTTTAAAAGAGGGAAGCTCATGTTAAAACGCCTTCCCGCAGTTCCTACTGTAGAAACATCTTGTACAGGGACAAGTATGCAAATCGATGTTGAAAAAAATTGGACACTAAATAAACAGTCTGAAAATCCCATGGTCCGGCGCAATAAATCGCAAAATGTAAAAATAACTTAGAAGGTAACAGTTATAACAAATCTTGAGACAAAGCAGGTTTGAACAATACATAATTCTAACACACACTGTGAGATTCGTCCTTAAGAAGCTGGCGGACCGTAAACGGCTGAATTCTGGTGTGCTGCTGAGGCACCAAAGATGACCGCATTCATGTAGAAGGAGAATGCGCTAGGACAGTTGTGGTGAAAGGGTGCACCTCTGAACAGAGGACATGAAGCATATTCAGAACTTCGACAATTGATGTCTACGAACAACGGCGCTTAAAGGACGGGTGTTTAGAGGAGGGCAAAAGATAGTTTACTTGCAGAATACAGCTAGCATGGCAAACAACATAGAACAAGTACTATGGAAGCCAAGTTACCGCTGACAGAGAATAGTGTTGCTAAGCAAGCAATTTCGGAATATCATGAATTATGACTTCGAAGTGTAATTGTGATATCAGTTATATCCTCCTTCCAAGATCGTTGCGCTGTTTGTAGTAAGAAGTGGCCATAGACTGCCGTCAGATTCCGCCAGATTTTCAGTATTACAATTGTGTAACCTTCTGGGGTGTCTCGAAAAGGCTGGATCGGGATCTACATCATGGAAAGTTTAAGGTCGAAACAGCCTAGCAGAATAAGATATAATCCGACGTTTCGGGTGCTATGGAAAGTACTGCATTATTTGAGATTAGTTAACAGTCAGATGCGACCAGTGTTGGTGTCTGATTATGGTAGTTTAGCTGGAGTATGCTTCCGTTTACTATTGTGTCAAATGTGATGCATCATCATCGACAGCATGTGTAGCGACCCAGTCACCCATATACTTGACTGTTCAGCTCATAGTCGCTCACTGGATCGCGAGGCTTGTCTATTTTCTCATACGCACAAACACGTCGCATTAAGCTGACACATCGGACATCGATTGTCTGCACCGCCTAGTCAGCGTAGCAACCACTCATGTGCCGACGCGCCCACACACACGCACTGGGACCTACGTAAAGGCAAACCGAACCCAGTCAAGACACACAGACTCACGCGCTCGCAGGGAGAAAGACGTCAACCTCTCCACAAGTCCACGGACAATCATGGAACACGTGTAGCAGTCAAACTGCGGAGAAAACACGTTACCGCCGTCCGGACTTTCACCAAGGGACTCTCACATACGATAAATTCCTTTTTGACTTGCTCCCATTTCGCATTGTATTCATTTTTATACGTGTCGCAATCATGTTAAAAACTTCTATTAGTGCACATTCACCTTCTGATTTGTATTATGGCTATCGCCACCCGTGCAGTAATACATGACATCAGTGTTCAGCACCGATACTTCACTGCCGTACAAATGTGATGCACCACTGTTGAAAATTCAGCTGGACATCCGGGTACCATGTCTACTAATATGTGGAGGTCCGCGCCAGGTAGACGGAATTGTGGCTCCGTGATTACGGCCGACGCAGACGGAACGTGTGATGGTAGCTGGAGCTTTAGCGCACGTCAATTCCACATGTGACTTCAATCCTGATTGGAATATTAGCGTACCACCGAGGTTTATTTGCTGGTTTGATTCGAGTGCATGAAGTGCAATGCCTGAGTCGCGCTCAGATTCTTTTCAACACTGTTGTATTTCGTCGGGCAGCACGTGCGTGCTATTCGTGCTTTGTAATTTGCGCACAGAATTGCTCCGATCTTTGACCTGTCATAAACAATAATCAACCACCAATCATCACGTCATTACCATCACCGGCAGAATAACCCCAACTCCCAACATGGGTGCCTCGCTGCCGCAAAAGCATGTTTTATTGGAAAGCATTATTAAGGGGAAAAATAGCACAGGACGCAGAAGGGACTTATTCCTAGCTAACCAGTCACTCTGAGGGGTCTGCACTTCCAGCGATTCAGGCGATCTGGATAGAAACTGACAACAAGAACGCCAATGTCATAGATTAAAAGCCCTATCTTGAAGCGTCTCCAAACAGGAGAAGCAAAGGTCAAGCGGTTCCCATCCTGGAAGCCGAGTGTCATGACTATATAACCCATACCTTTGGTATGAAACGTGGACTCATTGGTTTCGTACTTTCAACGCTTACATGAACTCAATCAAACCCAAAGGTCTAAATAAATTGGAAGCTCTCATTCCTTACATCGACCATACAGTGTATGACTTCATTGCAGAATGCAGCGACTACGATTCTGCGATAGCCTTACTGGAAAAACTTTACATCCGCCCGAAAAATATCGTGTATGCACGCCATCTTTTAGCCACATACAAACAAGAACCTGGTCAAGATGTCGACCAATTCGTTCAAAAACTGAAATCGCTTGCTAAAGACTGTGAATTCAAAGCAGTATCTGCTGTGGAACATACAAACGAAGCAGTTCGGGATGCTCTGATAACCGGATTGCAGTCGAATACCATTCGGGAGAAACTGCTAACGTGGCATGAATTGGACCTTGACAAAGCCCATGAAGCCGCGCGAGCTCTCGAACTTGCACAAAAACAGTCACAATCATACGTATACAGACAACCCGTTACTTGTTCGGTATCTACTCCTTTACCCATTGTTAATTCCGAAACAACAGTTTCGGCCGCTACACAACAAACATGTTACTTTTGTGGCAACCCCAAGCACCCTCGTTATAAGTGTCCCGCTAAAGAATCAGTGTGCAAGAGTTGTGGAAAAATTGGACATTTTCAACGTGTCTGTAGGTCCAAAGCCTCGAAATATCACGCGGGTTCAGCTCAAGACTCCTCAATCTCCTCGCTATTTTGTGCTGCTGCTCCCAATTGCCTATCCAAAACTACAACAGATATTTTGGTCAACGGCGTTGTTGTCCGAGCTCTCATTGATACCGGCAGCTCCAGAAGTTTCGTTTCTTCATCAATCCTGCAAACTCATAACTGGGAGCTATTTCCGTACGACTCTGTGATAACAATGGCGTCGACGATACATTCATGTTCCACCAAAGGTTATTGCCTTGTGTCCATTCAGTACAAGGATGCTATATACGAACGTTTCAGACTTTGTGTATTACCGAACCTTTGTGCAGACGTCCTTCTCGGACATGACTTTCTGGGGTTACATGATAAAGTCGAAATTCCATTCGGTGGTCAACGGGGTACCCTAACTGTATGTGGCGTAACATCCGCAAAACTGGAATCTCCATCCTTATTCACCAATCTTGCTCCAAATTACAAACCGATCGCCACAAAATCTCGTCGTCATACACCGGAAGATGAACAATTCATACAAACGGAAGTAGACCAAATGCTTACCGATGGCATAATCGAACCATCAAATTCTCCGTGGAGAGCACAAGTGCTCGTTACCCGCAATGCAAATCACAAGAGACGCATGGTGATAGACTACAGCCAGACAATCAATCGCTTCACCTACCTTGACGCTTATCCTTTACCAAGGCTCGACCAAATGATTGAAACCATCGCACGCTACACTGTCTACAGCACACTGGATCTCCAGAGTGCATATCATCAGGTTCCAATAATCGAGTCAGACAAGCCATTCACAGCGTTCGAAGCTGGGGGGAACCTATACCAGTTTCGGCGCATTCCTTTTGGAGTGACAAACGGGGTCGCGTGTTTTCAGCGAACGCTGAACAATATAATCAAAGCCGAACAGGTAAAAGACACATTCGCTTATATCGATAACGTCACTATATGCGGCAAAACGAGAGATGAACATGACCGTAATCTTAGGCATTTTCTCGATGTCGCAAAAACATACAATATTACTTTGAACGATACGAAAAGCAGCTTCGCAACTGAAGAGATTACTCTCTTAGGTTACAAGGTCTCCAAAGGTATTATAAGACCTGACCCAGAACGCATGCGCCCCATAAGAGAACTCCCACTTCCAGAGAACGGGAAATCGCAGCAAAGAGCCGTTGGTTTGTTTGCCTACTATTCACAGTGGATACCGGCGTTCTCTGACAAAATTCATCCATTGGTTAAAAACAAAATATTTCCGCTCCCGGAGAATGCCCGAACAGCATTTGAGAACCTTAAACACGAACTAGAAAATGCGATGGTAGTTACTGTCGACTACAATATTCCTCTCGTTGTTGAAACTGATGCGTCCGACATCGCTATTGGTGCATCCCTGAGCCAGGGTAGCCGGCCGGTCGCCTTTTTCTCCAGAACCTTGACTGCAAGCGAGAAAAATCATTCTGCTGTTGAAAAAGAAGCATATGCTATAGTTGAAGCGATCCGCAAATGGCGCCACTATCTCCTCGGGAGACATTTTAAATTGATTACGGATCAACGTTCGGTAGCCTTTATGTATGGGAACCAACAGAAAAGTAAAATAAAGAACGACAAGATTGAACGGTGGAAAATCGAGTTGGCAGGGTACAACTACGACGTCGTCTATAGACCTGGAACAGATAACCGCGTTGCTGATACCCTATCTCGTAACCTTTGTGCCAACATTACTGGGACGGAAAAACTTGAAGAGCTTCACAACATATTATGCCATCCCGGGGTCACGAGATTTGCACATTTTGTTCGTTCTAAGAATCTTCCTTTTTCAGTCAGCGATATCCGACGTGTGGTGTCCAACTGTTCCACTTGCTCCGAGCTCAAACCAAAATTTTGTGACACCTTTCGTGGCCAGCTTATCAAAGCCACACAACCGTTCGAACGCCTTAGTATCGACTTTAAAGGCCCACTTCCCTCAAACACTCGTAATAAGTACCTCTTAACAATCGTTGACGAGTATTCTCGATTCCCTTTTGCTTATCCCTGCGCCGATACGTCCTCTTCCACTGTAATTCGTTGTTTGAGTCAACTGTTTTCACTGTTTGGTATGCCTGCTTATATTCACTCAGATCGCGGTTCTGCATTCATATCAACTGAACTCAAACAATTTTTGTTCGATAAAGGCGTTGCCAGTAGTCACACCGCTGCATATAATCCACAATGTAATGGTCAGGTTGAACGACTTAATGGTACCCTTTGGAAGACCATCTGCCTGGCTCTAAAATCGCGCGGCTTGCCTGTCACACATTGGGAGGCTGTCCTCCTTGATGCTCTTCACTGTATCAGATCCCTGTTATGTACTAGTATCAACTGTACCCCACACGAACGTTTTATGCCGTTCACACGACGATCAGCCAACGGTGCCTCCCTACCTACCTGGCTTACTGTCCCTGGGCCAATCCTTTTAAAACGCAATGATCGAGTCTCTAAATATGACCCTCTGGTAGAGGAAGTGGAACTCGTCTCTTGTAATCCACAGTACGCCCACATAGTTCGTCCAGATGGCAAACACGAAACCGTATCCTTGCGCCGCTTGGCTCCCAAAGGCAACGACATGACATCCGACACAGAACAGGAACCAATACATATCGCCGAACAAGGGGAGCCTCACACAACACCAACAATCCACCGTGGTTGCTCAGAAACTGAACTCTTGCCTATTAACGATGCCTCGCCATCCCATTCTAGTGCAGATCCAGGAAATCACTTGGACATTCTTATCCGACAACAGCGCACTCACCCATATAATCTACGCAACAGAGAGGCGTAAACGACTCCATGTAACTATTACAGCCTTTTATTTTTTTACATTCTTTCTCCGCAAAGTACACACTTATTCCAAGGCGGGGAGAATGTCATGACTATATAACCCATACATTTGCATAACCCATTAACTCGTGATTCTTACTCTATTTTCAGCTCATGTACTACAGTTATTAGACGATTAAAGCGTACATTACGTCTTCCTATTCTGTCTCCTTTCTAATCCCGTCCTGGAACTACTCAACTCTCGCAACACCGAGTCAGATCAATACCACCCAGACCTTTCGTAATCGGTTTCAAACCCGTCCGCAATTATAAAGGTTGGACACTTCTCTGCTTCCGACACTATGAATGGGGCACGGGAAACAGCACACTTCGGCAAGCGATGGCTCGACACGCGGAACGTGACCAAACCAAGGCAACTTCTGGTACTGGACAAATTCCTCGATCGAAGTCCCAAATTGACAGCCGAACAGTCGC